TATACCGTGCGCGTAAAAAGCATGTGCAGATATACGAATCGAGGAGGAGAGAGAAAGAGAGAGACAGAGAGTTTAACGGGGAAACGTAAATTGCAAAATCGCGCACGAGCGAACCAGAGCGTGAGAGCGGCACTACGTGTGTTCGCACAACTGGAAAATTAACTACTAAACTTTTTTTTTCAGAGGGAGAGAGAAGAAGAGAGAAAGAGAGGGAAAGAGAGGGGGAACAGCGTGCCGAAGGTCTGCGGTTTGGCGGAACAGTCGCGGGAAGCTTTCGTATTCGGCACGCGCACACGGCATTCGCGACCGTTTCTCTCGTTTTTCTCTCGCGCGTTACAAAATGCGCGTTGTCAAATGCAAGAGTGTCCCGCGAACCGGGATTATATCGAATGATACAAATCTACACCGAGATTTCTCTCGCGCGACGAGTCAAACGTACCGCCGCGGTCCGTGCGTTCGACGCAGATCCCGTTGGCTGCGATCGCGCGCAGGGCCTCCCCGTGGAACAATCGCTGCCCGAGTGCTGCGAGTTGCGACGGCCGCGCGCGCGAGAGAGAGAGAGAGAGAGAACCGTCGTCGCACCAGCCACCTCTTGTGTCATCATCCCTACGCAGCCCCACGCAGGTCCACGCAGTTTCCCGGCGGCTCCGCGGTACGCGATTACGCGCTGTGCCAGCCCGCGTATATCGCATATATCGGCCGCGCGCGCGGCCTTCTGCGTCGCGTTTCCACACGCACAGGTACACACCACGGCGGGATATAACGAGCGTAACGCGCGCGCTTCTCCTCGCGGGGAGTAACGAGAGCGAAGAGAGCGTGTTATGATGATGACGATGAGGAGAAGGACGAAAAAGACGAAGAGGAAGAAGAAGAGAAGAGAAAGAAAAAGAAAGGCGAGAGGAGAGCCGCAAAGCAAGACGAAGCGACGGGCGAGGGTGAGAGCGCGTGGAAGCGAGAGCAAACGAAAGACGTACACTTTTACTCGAGCCCGTGGCAGATAAAACGGAGAGAGAGAGAGAGAGAGAGAGAGAGAGAGTGAGAGAGAGAGAGAGAGAGAGGAATCGATCTTCGGCACACCGAGAGACGCGAGAGACACTTACGGCTTCCCGCGGGCAGAGCGGGGCGTCCGTTCGTCGTCCGTTCCGTTGGCGAAACGAGCCGTCGTCGACGACGGGAGAAAGAGAGAGAGAGAGAGAGAGAGAGAGAAAAAGAGAGAGAGACCAGCCGACGGGGGCGATCCCGTGTGCTCGTCGCGCTTCCCGTATGTGCGTGCGTGCGTGCGTGCGTGTCTCCGTCCTCTGTCGCGCGATTCTCTCTCGTCCGGGTAGAGTAGCTCGCACGAAATTACTCTCGGGCGACCACGCGCGGCTACGCTTTGTGTACTCGGGCTATACTTGGCGCACAGTCCGCGGGAAACAGTCCGCGCGCGCCGCGCCTCCGAAAAACCAGCCTCGGAATGCGCGAGCCACCCTTGGAGTTTTCCTTTAGGCCGGCTATCCGCGGCGGCGGCGGCGACGACGGGGTGAGAGTGCCACGGCGAACTGCTGCGGAGGCTGCGAGCCGCTCTCGCGGAGACAAGGTGAGTGAGAGGGAGAGAGAGTGTGTGTCCTCCTCTCGCGCTTGTCTCGCGTTCCTCTCGTGGTGTTACATCGACGTGTTAGGTCGGGTACACCGCGAGCACCCCGGAGATAACGGTGTAACCGCGCCGACGACGACTTTAATGACGACGACGATGATGATGCCGATGACGACGACGGTGACGATGACAACGACGACGTCGACGACAAGCACGATGACGACGACGATGAAGGCTGGCGGGACCAACGCCGAAGAAACAGCAGAGAGAGAGAAGTAGGCCGGTTAACCGTTCAGGCCGCACTGAAGAGTCGAGCGAGCCGCGGGTTAGTGAGGGTGAACCGGCCTGGCATCCCTCCTCTCGAACGCACCCCGCTTCACCCGAGCACCTTCACCCTCTCTCGCCACCGCCACCGCTGCTGCCGCCGCCGCTGCCTCCTCCGCCACCGCCGCCGCCACCACCACCGCCACCATCGTCGTCAGCCACCCGCTCTCGTTCCGCCGCTCTCTCTCTCTTTCTTGCTCGCTATCTCATTCTCTCATCCCCTCTCTCTCTCTCTCTCTCTCGCTCTCCTCTAACCCCGCTGGTGGCCCCCGACCGACCGGCCTGTACGCGAGTACCTCGTAATCGCGACGCACTCGAGTACGGATATTTATTCGAATGCCGCATCCCTTAGGAACTCGGTCGATATCCAGCTGGATCGGGCAGGTACCGAGATTGTCGGGGGCATGGGGGGGGAGGGTGATCAGCGGAGGGATCGAAGTTATCGGCGATAATTCAACGGGCGATTGAAATGTCGGCAGAATCCGCGTGAGATTTGTAACTTGCGTGAACTTTTTACCTGCGACGGAACGGGGCGAATATTCGCTGCAGTTTAGAGGAAGAAGAAGAATAAAAAGAAGCGACGTGTGTCGCTCTCTCGATAACTTTCGAACAGTCCGAACGAGAGAAATGGACATCAGCTTTTTTTCTTTCTTCAATGTACAGATTTATCTTATCCCAGGATGTGAAAAATCCCTTTAGGCGCACACGCACACACACGCACACACACACACACACACGCACACACAGACGAGGCGTGTTGTCCATAAATGTTATTATAAATAAATTGTACGCAGACGGCTGCAAGCAGTGCGGCAGCAGTATCTAAAATAGTAATAGCGGCGACGAAAATAATAATAGGAAGAAAAAAATAACAACGATCTAGAGAAAGGAAGAAGGGAGAGAGAGAGAGAGAGAGAGAGAGAAAGAGCGCCGCCTTAAATTAGAATTCTATTTCGAAGTTGACTGCCGTATTCGGTGAGTCTTGGAAAAAGCAACACAAGGTTTCGATCATCCCCGCAAGGCTTTTCCATAAAAAAAAACAAGGGCTCTATAGTCAAAGGATCAAGCGACGCGCGGTAGCGCCCGACAGCCACAAGCATGAAATAAAATGACAGCTTGATAACAGGTCGAATGCTCACAATGAAACATCGAGGCGCTACCAAATAGCTTATCCGCAGTTTTCGCGCCAATCGAACCTCGATTGAGATTTCTCGCATACCTAAGCCAGATTCAACGGCACTTCTCTGATAAGACGTTGATGTAAGCCCTCGATTGCGATTAAAATCGACGCAGCCAATCTCGAGATCTCAAGATTTCGTTTGCAAAATTTTTCGCGCGCGACCTGAACGTGCCAAATTTTTACATCTCGATGTTATATTTTCTCGCAATTTCCCGCTTGGCCACTAGAGCGTATAGTCATTAATAAAACCGATATAACATATATGTAGCAAATCACATTGTTTGCAAAATTGTTAAATTAGAAAATTTTATACAGGCAAAATCTTCGTAGCAAAACTATTTTTTACTCGATGTGGGGCAAATAATAAACTAACGATCATCATCATTATTTTATTAATGAGAATAATTATTAGGTGACAAAAAATAATTTTTGCATAAAAAAATTTTTATAAAGAGCGATATGAAGAAGAATGATATGTAACAATATAGCGACAGATTGTTAAGAAACAGCAGCAACAAATAATAATGATAATAATGAACTATATGAAAATGAACCATAATAATATGGTTAAGTTATTATATACAATGAGAGGTTAAGTTATTATGCACAATATATATATGAGTAATATTGAAATGAACCATAATACCATAAGAACCATAATAACATTAAAATGAACCATAATAATATGGTTAAGTTATTATATACAATGAGAGGTTAAGTTATTATGTACAATATATATATGAGTAATATTGAAAGTATGAATGAGCAAAGATAGATCAAAAATTAAAAAAAGAGATATGTAAATAAATAATAAAGAAAAATATAAATGATAATTTTGTCGGAATAATAATTAATTATTAATTATCAGAATTATAATTACTAATCAAAGTTATAATTAAAAAAAATTATCCATCCATGTTTCAATAAAAGGATTTGTAGAAGTGAATTTTTTAACGGCGATAGCATATCGTCAAAAAATGTAATATTAAGGAAGCTTCATTAATTAATATACAAAATTTGTTTATAGAAATAAAATTAACATTGATGTTCTATAAACTTCAACATGTAAAATTGTTGATGTGTGTCCAAATATTTTTGACCATCGGCGTTGAACACGTTCAATTTGTTTAATAAGGTTACTGGAATAAAGATTATCACTGATAATTATTAGCCAATTTACTTCTTTCTATATTTTTCTATCTTTGTAAGATGTGTTTGATAAGATATATCTATCTAAAGGTGAGGAATGCTTCCCTATCTTTCTTCTTTTCGTTGCCAGGCGCAACGGCGCTGCGACGAACATCGATTTCGCTTAGTATCGCGAGACTCGTGTAGACTTTTGATACTTTCTCAGCCGAAGCGTACCGAGGCGAAATCTCGCGGTTTCTTTTTATGGCGGGCGGAAAAGGAGGGCGGTCGGTGATATAAAAATTCACTCAATAAATCACAAATCGCTACGATATACGCGCCGCTGTACACATCACAAACAGATAATTAATCCGGTAAATGAAGAAACTGTTTACAACTGATTATTGCGCAAATTAAAACTGTCAATCGCTTTTGTAATCTAATCTCAAATCGATCTTAACGAGATAAAACGTGATACTTATAAAAAATGGCCAAACGACAGGCACGCTCTTAAGCGGGATACACAATGTAGCAAACAATTGATTTCATAGATTAATGTGACGCGCAATTCCCCCGAATGGGAAACGAATAATATTATCGAGGCATCGTCGATTAATTGATACCTGCGCACTCCAAACAATGGAAATTTTTTCTAAGAAGAATAGAAAAAAGAAAAAAAAACGCACACACAAACACAAAGCGTATTTTTGTCGGTGTTTCGAACTTTTGAACGGATTGATTGAATTGTTGCACAATATCATGTACGATAAGGGATCTTAATGCCGAGGTATCGGTGATACCGGCGACGTCTATTGTGTGCATATATATATACACGCTACCGTGTTCTTTCCGACCGCAGTCTCGTTCGAGCTATTTTCTTAATTACAAGCAGTAATACTCTCTTATCGTGTCTCACGTGAAACGGCCAATTGATTCATCGACAGGAACCAGTGACACGTTGCTACACGACTCGTACGTAATATTATAATTAGTGCAATCGTCGTTTTTCGCCTTTATAAACGCGAATATCGTAGTAATGAAAACGCGAGTACAACGGAATATGAGGGTACAATATTGGAGGAAACAATATTCAAGGACTACTGTTCAATCGGATACTTTATGACGCACTGCGACGCGGTCATGAATCTACCGATCTTGCCTCTTTTTCGTGCCACCTCGATTTCGCACGTGCGACGTGTCGTTTTTGTCCCTCGCGCGTTGTTAATTCGTGAAAATAGAATAAATGTACGGCTTTGAGATGTGAAAACGTTAATATAGAAACGGGTTAACAAGAGCCATACGTAAATAACGTTCAACGGAAATCCAAATTGTCAGTAAATATCGTACAGAAATAAAAATGCTAGATTCAGGTTGAATATTTACTCGAATACTCGTTAGCAAATTTTCACTCGGTAAATATTTTACTTTACAACACACACTCTCTTTACAATAATAATAATTATCCACTCGTTTTCACATTAATGTCGCTAAAAGGACACAGCCGATAACCGCGACCTTCTGTCGTTCGTTACGTGAGATAATGAGTCGCGATCGGGTGTCGGTGATGTAACGAACCCGTAGTAACGAATTACGGCGGCATCAAGGATGATATCCCGGGCTCTTTCTCCCGATTTTGCCGTTCGAAGTAGCTCACTAAATCGACCATATTTTCTACTTTGTGCAGAAAAATGAGCCTATCCGCAACGTTCGGACTTATCCTGATCTGTTTCCATGCCTTGGCAATTGAGACGAACGGTTATCGTAAGTGAATACACGCACACTCACATGTGTGTATGTATGTGTGTGTGTATGTATGTGTGTTTTATACGCCTCCTTGCTCTAGTATTTTTCTATGCGATATATCGAATGGTTATATATTTTTGCAGAAAAGTATTTACGTTTATTTCGTATGCGCACTTATATTCACGTCCTACTTATTTCCGAACCACTCGTTCGGCCATCTATTCTGGCAAATTTATCATCCCTCGATAACGATTCTGTCAACTGTTCATTTCCCAGTGGGCTATCTTTGAGTAGTTTGTTTTCGCGTGCGCAATTCGCCTTTTAATAAACAGCCTATGAACACGCGAGTTTGGCGCTCTTGTTACGCGGTATTTGTTTCTTTTCTCGTTTCAAGTGACAATAGCCTTCTGGAAACGTGTCGTTTTCACTAATTATATTAATTTGCATCTACCGTGCGCTCTTAAGTCGAATCAGCGAAAGTGTCACTGATTGAATCAGTAAAACAGTATTGTACCAAGATAATCAGCGGATATTCATTAATTTTTACTGGAAACATTTTCACTTAGTTCTTTTTTGCCCTTATTAATTTTGGCCGATGAAAGATTCATTGCAAATTGCTATTACGTGTCCCGTACAAGTATATATATATATATATATGTACATATATATATATTCAACCATATGCCGTATTTGGAATAGTTCATACACGGAGAAACAAATTTGCTAGAATAGCAAATTGTTCGTTAATATAGTGATAGCAAAAAAAAATTTGAACCGCAGAAAGATTTGTTAAGAGTATTAATTGCTATTTGCCAGATATATGGACAGCAAAATCATTTGGTTATGCCAATTAAATTTTATTGTTGTCGCAACGAAGTTTCGTTACAACAGCAAAATTATTTTTCAACTAAATACAGTTAAAAATATTTCAGATAAAATTACTGACAACGCCTTAAGAATGTGATCAAGATAATAAAAAGGAAGTAAAAAATAATATTTTTTTTTACTGTTTCTGCAGTTATAATAGATTTCCCGGAAACAAGTCGCTGATATTAACTTTCACAGCGAAATTTTGCTGATTTGCGTAGCTATACTTATAACTATAACTACTAGTGAATATTAACTGTTTCTTAATGATGATACACTGATTGCACTTTAGAGAGACTTACAGACTCGTAACCGATGGTTCAATACTCGAAAAGTAGGTGTTTCCCCGTGGAAAACTTCGGTTTCCTGCAAAAAAAGATCTTATCCCATATTCCCGACTTATCGTCTTTTTCGATTTATACTAGACATTCATTTATAGGACACTTTGTATATGATAAAATTCTGTTCTCAGATATACAAGAACATGCTGCATACGCTACCTCCATTAAGGGATTCATTGAGAGCTTGAAACCCATAATAAGGTCGGGGAATGAGTCGCTCGGAATCCCGCCTCTCGACCCGTTCCTCGCCGAGGAACTGCCGATTGAAGTCGACCTCGAAGATGTAGTCAAGTGCGTGCCGATTTGATTTCACGTCGGATTATCATGTGCAATGTATTCGCGAGCGCGGTGTAAAGAAACTAATCTGCCGCTGTACAATTCCATTATCCCATTCTTAAAATGTCTTTCTTCAAAATTCCAGAGTGAAGTTGGATCTCTTTGACGTCGACGTGCGTGGCTTGTCCGAGTTCGATGTCAACAAAGGCGAGTTCGAAATGCTCAGTATGAAGTTAGTGATAGACCTCACGTGGCCGCTTGTGTACGCGACCGCTAATTACAACATAAATGGCACTCTGGGCGGGGAGATGCCGATTTTCGGCAAGGGCGACATCACGTGAGTACTTTCATGTTTTCTAGAGAGGATCGAAACCGGCGTGTTCACTTTCCGATTATGAACGAGACAGACAGATGATGAGAACAAACAATTCCCGCCTCGTGAAAAAGATTCATCAAGCTCGGGTTTTCGGTACAAAAAAAAAACTTGGTTATATTTACCAGAAATGGAACAGCCAGATGCATTTTAGTCGAAGGAAACGGAATTTCTGGTTATAAGAACCACATTTGAGTCATCATCAGAACTAGAAATTCTATTCCCTTTAAGAACGCATCTGGTTGTTCCGGTCTTTCTAGTTAACACAACCAGATTTTTTTTCCGTGTGGACATTGTACTTCATGATATGCTTTATTTTGTGCGATATTCGTACATTAGCCACGCCTTTTTTTCGTGCAACTTTCTTAGTTAAGATATCAACATCTCAACAACATTTTAATTTCTCGCAAAAGAAGCAGAGGCGCGTCTTGTGCACCAAATTTCACTTCGGTGCAACCGTGCCGGCTTCAAATTACCATCGCCCACAATAATTCATTAATATAATATAAATTAATTATTATGATATTATCAATATTAACAATAGTACTTATCATTATCGTAATTGCACATTAAAATTATTCCTGATTCCGACCCACCTATCCACCCAGCCGGCCTTCCTCAACCCGCTCTCACTCACCCGCAACCTTGCGCTTGCTCGACGTGCCGTCCCATTTCGCCCCATCTATATTAAATACAACGATTGAAATATGCACGCGAAAAAAAAGGGGAAAAGGAAAAATGAGAGCTGCGGTGACTGACAATGAATCACGCCGTTCTTCATTCAACCGCGTTCCCGACTTTATCGAACGGCCGACTGCGACAAAGGGTGTTATTAAACCGCGACTGAATTTATCTGGCTCGTGTGACACGCGATCGTGCCGATCTCGACGAGTTTTCTTACAGCGCCAGTGCTACCGGTTTTGGCATGCGCGACGTCCAATTTGGGATCGCTTTGACGATATCCGCGGCCTGAGTCGGAATATAATTAAAATCGACGCGGAAGGTGTCCGTTGCCCCAAGTCGAAATTTTGATATTATTCCGACGTTCTTAAGGAGAGTTTAACGCCTACTAAAGCGGGATCTACAATGAAAATTTAAGGCGTAAATCTTAAGAAACTGATTAATCACAGTCGATTATTCTCCTTATATTCGACTGTGATCGGTCAATTTCTTGAGATATACGCCTTAAATTCTCATTGTAGACTCCGCTTCAGACGGTTTATAGACTAATAAAGATCTATTTTAACGATACTGACACTTTTTAACTTCTCTCTTGAAACCTTGATTCTACAGAGTAAATTTTAATGTTACTTTCAATAACCAATTTTGACGTTAAAATGGCGAAAACAGAAATTTAAAATATTATCAAAGTAGAGGTTATATTATATTATTAAAATTGAAATTATGTGAATCTATTTTGCTATCATAGCCCCTATTATGTTGTAGAATTAAAGATTTACGTAAGACCAAATTTCGACGCGGGGCGACTTTCCACGAGATTCCGAATGAAGTTGGAGAACCAGAAACGGTTTTTCAGAAAGATAAACGGAAAAGAAGTTGTTTTTTTATTTAAGAACGTGTAAATTGTGCGTGCTATGGCTGTCTTGATCTATTATAAGTCAACTTCTACTTGAGTTGGTTTTGCTTTAATCGGAGAAGCACGACGGAAACCCTTCGTGTCGATCTATAATTATCAAGCCAAGTCAAATAATGCATTTATGTTTGCTCCAATTTCCTTCCGATTGGAAGTAAAAATGCGAAGAGGTGTCGTTGAGCGTACATAGCAAAAAATATTTTGTACTTGTGTTAAAATCGATCCTTGTTAAAATTTTCCATGTTAAATTTTTAACATTCCCGTGTGTTAATTTAACATATTGTGTTAATGTTATCTCAATATTTTGTATGTCGAGTCGATATTCAACATGTATGAATGTTAAAATAACACTTAATAACACAAATGTTAAAATAACACATTTTATACCTCTATGCCGATTAATATATTATAGATATTAATTTTGTGTTAATTTTTTACTATGATAATATTTGTGTTACTTTTCAACATACTCACTATGTGTTAAATTAACACAAAAATTTATATGGACCATTTGGGATATGCAAAATGTATTAAATTTAACGCAAAAATCTGTTTATGTATTTCTTACATATATAAACATAAGTGCGATATATATATATGAACGCGATGAATTATGTTTTATTCTGTTTTACCGTATCTAACAGAAAATCTAACTAAAATATGCAGGATGTTCCAAACCGTTCTCGTGGTGTGTAGGTAGAACGGCTGAAACTGAACAGAAAAGTCGTATACCATTTTGCAAAATTCGCAATAGTTAGCGAAAAATTAATTATTTTGTCTGGATTAATGAACGCACGGGAAATGATAGGCTAGACTCTATATAAAGAAAAATGACTTACTTCTGAAAATCTTCTAGCAACAATAAATATTAATTGATAGCGAGAGACTTGTTTCTTTTAGGCGTGCAATCGATCACAGGACGGTTGCAAGAGTTTTTTTCTTATTTCAGGGCACATAAAAAATATAACGAAGAGAGCGTATAATTAATGAACATGCGCAATAGATATTCAGACACAACTGTCAAAATTAGATACATATATATGTCAAAATTATATATTGTTATGTAATGTTGACAATTGTTTTGGCTATCTATCGTACTATAGATTCGCTTCTTCGTATTTTTGTGTTTTCCGAAACATGTAAAAGAAAAACTGTTGCAACCGTGACCGATTACAGCTCTGTGTCATATGCCGTTCGTTACTTGCTACGTTACTTCGCGTTTAGAAATTAATTGATACTAGATTGTTGCTAGATCTTCAGAAGTAAACCATTTTTCTTTATATAGTACCCGGCCTCTTTTCGTGCGTTCCGACAAAATAATTAATTCATCATTAACTGTTGCGAATTTTGCAAAATAATACATGACTTTTCTGTTCTAATACATGTTCTTTTCTGACTTTTCGGTTTCATATATTCTACTTACACATCGCGAGAACGGACAGCTTGTATAAAAATTTTTCTGCAAACTTTTCGTATCATTTTAGGCTTCTAAATTTCATTGAAAAAAGTGTAAAAATGTTCTTTAAAATTTATTCAATTTTCAGAGCGGGAGTTAAGGGCTTTAATTTCTTCACGGAAATTAGTTTCAAACTAAAGAACTTGAAATATGTGGAAGTGAAGAACATAATATTGAAGATTGCACTCGGAGGTCTAGACGTAAGTTGACGAGCTAATGTGACATTTCCCGTCGGATCTCTTCTCTTTTTCGCCCACTCATTATCTATTTGCAATCGGTATTCGTTTGCAAGAAAATAAAGCAATTTGCCACGCGAGTAAGCTTTTGTCACTTTCGAGAGTCGAGTTCGTATAATTTTCGCTATTTTCGAAGTATGAGTTAAAAAAATATTTCACCATAGTTTCTCTCAACGCGATCCCCGTTTTTATTTAAAAAGTCAAATTCAGTGAAGTTTGAGTATCTTAAGCCCTTCGATCACATTTGAGAGACGAATGTACGATTAATCGTGCGATTTTTGCAGTTCAAAATTACGGGTCTCTTCAACGATGAAGAACTGTCCGAATTGGTGAGCTCTATGATTTCGGAAATGGTGCCCGATCTAATCAAGGAAAATCACGATGAGATCGTAGGCTACATAATACCTATCCTCAAAGACAAAATCAACGAAATCCTCGAGGGTAAAACGATCTCAGACATAATCAAAATAATCGGGGGATATTCACAGGAAAATCAGATTAAATTAATCAATGGTGTGTAATGTAAATAGTACAACTATTAAGAACAAGTTTTAGAAACACGACACGAATTCAAATGATATCCATCGACCAAACTATGTTGTGTAAATTATGAATTCAGTTAAATCTCTATGAATAAACTTGACAAAATCTAAACGATATTTTAACTCTTTTCCTATCTTTGCGTATTTATTCCTCTTTTGTTACAAATGTTCCCGATCAAGACATCACCATGCCCGAAATCGGGACATAAGATATCTTTAAGACATCTTTAAGACGTCTTATGTCCCAGTTTTGAACATTATGCTGTCTGAGGAGTTATAATTATATCGAAATGACGCATTTAAAGTTGAATTATTAATTCATTTATATATATATGTTAATCACATCTGTTTGCACATCTATATCTATGTATAAATGAGTAAATAAATAAATAATTAGGAATTTGATACAGTGTTTTTTATTTCCTCTTTCCTCTTTCTTCCCTCCCTCACCCTCACTCTCCCTGAAACGGTTATAAACAATTTATAGTTAGCATTAGCACGTTATATTTCTATAATGGATAAAAAAGCATCATGCTTTCTTTGTCTCACGTGTAAACCACACACGTGTGCACACACGACGTGTAATCAAGCACACGTGACACGTACTACGCTAGCCGAGACGCACTGTTTTATCGACAACGCGGATAATTGGAGAGTACCGACACATCACTGACATTCATTCGATAGAAGTGTCCGAACGATTAACACGTGCGCCGCAGTATTACAATTGTGATTTATCGCGTTATTTTCGCGAAATTTTCCCCATATATGCGCAAGGCAGGGAATTTGCATATAATTACATACAGATCTGCATACGATTTATATGTATAATTTATATGCAAATGCATTTCCATTGTTATTATTCGCAAAGCGCTCGCGTTTCACGAGATAGATACTCATTTCCGGCATCTGTTCGAGGAATACTCAGCAACATTTCGTCGTGAAACTCACTTTTAATGCTCCCGTGGTGAGGATTCGCGAGCGAGACCTCCCTCTGGCGTGTCAAATTGCGGAGCCCGGCGAGCGGAAGATTCGAACTTCAAATCGCCATGACGCCGCAAACGCGCGATCCCTTCGCTCGTCACTCCCGACACAGTTCGTCACGCGAAATATTCACTCGCAGCGGTCGCTAGAGGCGTCTCGCATGACGAACATGCGGAATTCGTTCTCCCGGCGCTCCCGACGATGACGATTCGCGCGCGGGGTTCACCCACGACCGGCCAGAATCACGAGAAACGCGGAGGGCTTCTTCGAATCCGGCTTACCGCGCCATATTGCATTTCGCAACTAACGTACTATCGCAACGCCTGCGATTCTCATGTCATTTGATCGTATCGACTCTCGTAGTTGTCGAGTCTCCCGACATTATCGACTCTCGATCGAGGCAGCCCCGTTCGATATCGAGCTACACCATGCACGCACTTGTCGTATTTAGTGGGAAACGGGTGAGTGAGAATTGCCACAAGGACGTGGGAGAGCAAGAAATTGCGAAAATGTGCAGGGAAAAGGCGAGTGAATCATTTATTCATTAATACTCCCCGAAGTATGCGAAGTTACCGTCCGTGTAGTCGAATTGTGCGATATCGATGGTATCGTACAACGTAATCAGCGTGTCTATATTCTGTTAAAATTAAAATAAGTAAATATAGTACATTATATAGCGAAGGAGAGGATTATTTCTTTCGCGGTAAGAGTTTTTTTTTTGTAGTTCACAATCTAATCGAAATGTCGTCTCTTCATCTTATCGACAGAAATAGTGACAGTGACAGCCCTGTTTCATCGGCAGAGCGAGCGAGCGATCGGACGGAATTAGTCAACGGCGTATCGGCGTACGTACGGATGACAAATCCGTCGCGATCTGTCCACGGTGCCCGATTATCGTTATCGTAACGTACGTTGGACGTGAGTCTTCCTGCCCGGCGCAATAATGATTTTGCTCGAGATACACAATAGGATACTAGAGGAAACGTTAACGAACAAAATCAAGAATGCCTTGTCGGGGTAAGCGGCGCGTGTGCATGCGATTTTCTACGTGAAAAACCGTACGCTTATCTGCATAACCTCCATTCCGGAGGATGTGGCGCCGGGGCGGTGTCCGTCGTCACGTTTATATTTTCCCGGGAGAAATTCCTCTCCCAGGTGTAATTGATCGAATTTCGTTCGCGTTATCTTCGATTCGCCCACGTTTCCTTATCCTGGACTCTGCTCCAAGTGTCCTGCTCAGCTCTTCCCCAATCTCGACTTGTCCTGATCAGTCTTGTCTCTGAGATTCTGTCAAATTGAGAGCTGTAATTATCATTCTTGCGATTGTTCTTCCTCCAACAGAATGTTTCTTTCGCAGACACAAGCAGGAGTCGACGGACGTCGTCATAGCAGACTTTGACGGAGTGTTGTTTCATATTTCAAATCTCAGCGGAGACAAGTCGAAGCTTAGAGTAAGCTCGTGTTACTCTAGAGTATTTTTAAGCCAAAGCTTGTTGCTTTTCTTCTATCTAACATTGAGAATATGTTTCCACACAGATAAGTATCCTGCTCAAATTTTATAAACAGTTACAAGAACATGGTGCGGACGAGCTGCTCAAACGAGAATACGGGTCTCACCTTATTGCGCCAGAGAGTGGTTAGACATTTGCTTCTAATTACTCTGTAATTCTTACACTTCATCGATGAAAGTGACAAGTTATTGTAAATCATGTGTCGCTTCTTTAGGTTATAATGTATCGGTAATCATAGACCTGGAGAAGTTACCAGAAGACTGGGAGGCATTAGTGAGAAAAGTCGCGTTGCTGAAGAGGCATTGCTTCGCCAGTGTTTTCGAGAAGTACTTTGACTTTCAGGAGGAATACTTTGATTCACCAGGCAGGCCGTTGCAAAAGAGGGCAGTTATCCAGTACAGAGATGAAGAGACAATGTGAGAAATATGTTTCATATGCTTGCGTTTTCCAATTGTTCCTAGCGTGTTCAATGTGTCGTTGATTCCCATTGCAGGTATGTGGAGGCTAAGAGCGACAGAGTCACAGTAGTGTTCAGTACGATATTCAAGGATGAGGACGACATGGTTATTGGCAAATTGTTCCTTCAAGAATTGAAAGAAGGCAGGCGGGCCAGCCATACTGCGCCCCAAGTCTTGTTTAACCATCGCGAGCCACCGTTGGAATTGCAGGATTCCGAAGCAGCCGTGGGAGATTGCATCGGCTATATTACATTTGGTATAAACATCTGTCGTCTCTCAGGACATTGTGTCACTCTTTCCTTCCTAAACTTTTCGAAGGAGGATGTGTGTTCAATGATTCGAGGGAGGAAAATGTATTTCACTATCCATCCACTTTACCTTTTGATCCTTAAACGCGTTTAATTTTGACTTCTAGTGCTGTTCCCACGTCACACTAACCGGGAATCTCGCGATAACACTATCGATCTGATACACATGTTTAGAAACTATTTGCACTACCACATTAAGTGCAGTAAAGTTTACATCCACTCCAGAATGCGTACCAAGACGACGGATTTCCTCAAGGTGCTCAACAGAGCGAGATCTCAGTCTAAGAACACTGAGAAGAAGACTATCACGTAAGTGTCCGGTCACTAAATTAAATAATGCACCGAAGTCGAGTACTGAGACAAATAATAACATGCGATAAATACGAAGGAACGAAATCTTTTTGCATATTTAAAGGACGAGATTCCATAAGCTAAAAGCTATAAAATTCAAAGTATCTTGTTTACTCAATGATCATCAAACACTGTTTGCAATAAGTTATTTTGATCTTTCTCTCGTGTAATAACATTTGACCTAACTTGCCTTCTGTAAGAATTAAATCTACATCGACCCTTGCAGTGTACATTCGAATTTTCTTACAGGGGACGAACATTCATCAGGAAAGAATGAACATGCTGGTGGGACAAAAGTGTTATCACTTCTTAAAAAGAGAGGGAAAGACGGAGAGAGAGAGGAAAGGAGAACGAAACGGATTGTCGCACGGAGTGCGGTCAGAAGGCGCCGACTGCCACGTGCAAGATTTTCCACGTTGGCATTCCTTGATTCGCGCTATCGGCAAGTCGAGTGCTTCGGACCTTTGAGTTTCAACCTGTTTATTGAACAGTGCCCTACTTAGGAAAAATTTAGCGTCGCGGTTTAAGTGGATGAGAAGAGAAGTTGGTCGCATTTCTTGTCTCATCGTTGACTTACTCGCGCACGCATCAAGCTGCCCGCACAGAGGGAGAGGATACTCGAAGACACTGAGGAGTTACTGTACCTATCTGTGTACCAATACGGTAATCGCTCGAGTATCGGTCGTTACAAAAATTCTCGTCGGTCTCTTCACAGTGTTTCTAGGATTCAACGATGGGTAGCGCTGAAACTTGGAAGGAGAAAGGTTTCACGGATTCGGTTACTTACTACTACTACTACTACTATTACTACTACGCTGGTTGTTACCTCGAACGATTTATCATACGTTACGGCATCCTCCCAATTACGTCCGGCTACTCCGTGTACGAGTGCATGAAAAACGCGTATTAGTGTTACGGCGATCGGCGCACCGCTGCGAGATATCTGCGATACCTACAGCGGACAAGCATGAGATACACACATTTAAAAGATACGTAGAACGTTCAATTAACTATCGAGCTGTCGAGTCTGTGATTTCATCCCGTTGCGAAATTTCCTCGGAGCAGCGTTGTGCGAGCGGTACCGACATAAACCGGAAGCTGACAGAGAGAGAGAGAGAGAGAGAGAGAAAGAGAGAGAGAGATAATGATTATAACATGACACTCTTACTTTCCACATAGCATTTCTCGTAACGACGAACGGGTCGCCGAGCGAGCGAGGTATTGTTAAAGAATAGCGCTCGATTGTTTCTTCCTTCAATATTTTTATCGTCTCTATCTTTATCGCTATACACACACTTTTGGCTATTGTGAGATAATAAAAACGGCATTAACAATCCACACCTGAGAGGTACTTCTGCGCCACCCGCGCCTGCGTATTGATTTGTAATCAGTGAGCAACGTAAAAGGGAGTGTCGGAGCTCGTCGTTCAATTAACGCAACCACACCCATTCCACCGGCATGAATTTTTCTCTTAGTTCAGCGGCGTTCTCTCAGGGCGGATATATACGTCAACGCATTCGACCGCGCGAGGAGATCCGAGAGAAAGAGAGAGAGAGAGAGAGAGAGAGAGAGAGAGAGAGAGACAACTGATATTTACCGATACCGTTACTCAAGTAAAAAAAAATATATATATATTAATTAATCCAACTTGCACGTTTGTGCAGACTCGTTAACCGTGACCGAGACGATCGTGCTTCACACGTGAATAGTTTGTATCGGAGTCCAAAACTAGTCGGATTCCTCAGGACCTTCGGCAATCTCCAAAGATTCGAGAGGCCGAGAATGGGGGAGCAGACGATGACGACGGCGACGCTACCGACGAGCACTTCGTCTCCGTGCTCCAGCGAGATCTCTGCGAAGGTGGACGACTGCGCGGTGCAGGGTGCGGTGGAGCAGTGGCTGGAAAACGAGGCGTTTTCGGGCTTTCGAGTCTGGCAGCTTGCCGGTATTGTCCTCTCCGTGCTGTTGTCCATCATGATCGGCCTCTGCTGCTGCATCCGCTTCCGCGTGCCCCGCACCAAGCAAGAGATCGAGGCGGACTACATTCGGAAGAGGATCACCAGGAGCTTCCGGCGTGAGCTCTCGAAGATCAGCAACACGGAGATGGACGAGATGGACTTACAGAAAGGTAAAGGGACGCGCTACGTCCGTACGAAGAGGAAGTTCCGAGGAGGCAGCGCGGCTAAGTAGTAGACCGCGGCCTTGGGCCTAACATCGCTTTTCACACCGCAGCTCTGGACAGAATCCAAAATGAGGGCGACGCCCCGGTGGCGAAGGAGCGCGCGGACGTGTCGCAGGACTGTCGGGCCGCTCAGCGTTGCTTTCGATCCAGATTCAGCGCCGTCTTCGACGGCATGCGTGCGCGTCTCGGTCAGCGCCAGCACGCCGTGAAGTCGAGCGTCATGATATGAATAATCGGCACGCGTTCTTGATATAACGGGTGCACACGCGTTATTTGTTTATTTGTGTAAACGGGGCAACCTTTCCTTCTGACGATATAGAAGAAGGATGAAAGAGAAACGGGGAAGAAAATGGTTACAGGAATTCATGAATATTATCTGTTTACTCAGTTCTATATTTATAGTCCGATCTCTTATTTAAGGTCGTTTTAAGTTCATCTTCAAATGTTCCCTTCGTACGCGGAAAAAAATGAGCATCAATTTAAGATTTATATTCTCAGCGAAAATATATAAAATAATTGAAAAAAATAACGACTATTAAATATTCTTTATAAAATATCCTTGAATTTTTTCCGTACAGCCAATAAAATATCTAAAGATGAACTTGAGACGATCTTAAATATAAGATCTGATTATAAATGAACGTCGATTTTAGAATTATTGTCCGGCAAGCCGAAGTGTCACCCAAGGTAACACCCAAGTTACTTCGAGTCACGTATAACAAACGGTATCAGTAGGAGCCTAAGACAGATACCCAGATCCATGTGAAAATCTATTCCTACCAGAGAATTTATCGTTAAATGCAGTTTACTTCGTCCACGTGCAGAGATTTCGTGTGAAGCGACGCGTTATTGTCAATATCGTTATTTCACTATCGTATGTTCTTTCGAATACACAGTCGTCTAATCCAGATGTTCGGTTTCCTAGTTATTAAACTTGTATATCGATGGTGCTATTACTAACGACTCGGTAGAAGTAGAATCTCTGGGAAGATCTTTGGGAGAGATCGAGAAACAAGTTGAGAGGAGAGCGCGAAAAGCGCGCAAAGCCGAGCGTGAGTTCCGGAAGGGGAGAGTCAGCGTCGGGCATTAATAAATTGTGTGTGACACTTTCATTGACTAAATATAATCTTTATTTCATAGATATATTTTTACACAAATTTATTTACTTTTAGCATGCAACAGTGATCTATAGCAACGGATAATATGCTTTAGAAAGCACTCCCACGGTATGTGTATGTGTGTGTGTGTGTGTGTGTTTGCATATCGTATGTGTGTCTATGTTTTATAGTGTGTGTACTTTTTTCTACCGTGTCGAGATTGCTATCGATTAAATCCTTTATATCGATTAATTATTTGTACTCTCTCGTTTAACTGCTTATCTTATTTTACCGCACACCGATTGTTCATATCTGTTTATCTGTAATCAATAGAATTCATCGGAAACTATTTGGATTTAATAATTTAATAATCAGTGACAATATGCGGCGGTGTTGATACGAAATCGAAGTGTATTATGAAAAAAAAAAAATCGTACCAAAAGTATAAGGTGAAAAAAAAGTAACGGAAAGAGAACGATACTCGAAAAATCGAGAAAGGATTGCGACGTGCAACGAGAGACGTCGATGTGTCACCGGGTACTGAGCGAATATGCAATTCCTGTCGAAGTTCCTGCACCGATGGTGCATTTACTATCGCGCTTTGCGAACCTGCTTTGTTTTTTTCTCGAACTACGACGATTTTACTGCGCGCAATTTCCTCGGTTCTGAAGTCACCTAACTGACATGGTCGCAGTAAGATATTTCGGAGGAATCTTAAGGCGATTTTGTTTTTTGTTCGTGCGAGCGACGATCACGAGACAATCTCCTTTTGATAAATAAATAAAATGCAGGAGACGAGGAAGCTTGACAAAATAAAAGGCAATGGAAGATGCGTGTTTATGAAAATGATTTATTTTTTTATCCGGAAAACATACAAGAGGTGGATCCTGCGCGGAATCGTTGTATACGACGAAAACGATAACTTGTTAATTCCGCAACATAATTATAAACAACTTTATAATTATGGCAACATTAAAAAAAAATGTATCACTCCGTTGTACGCTTCGGCATGTAAATAAAAAAAAAGGGGAAGAGAAGGGGGAGGGGGACTAATTGCGATTGCCGATTGATTGATTGAGCGAGCGAGCGTCCGGACCGAGAATCGCAGCGAGAAGCGAATCCATCGGGAATACCAATCCATGCAACGTACACTGATTTGATTATCTCAACCCTGCGCGCGACAGTCGTCGCAAAGTTATACTCGAGCGAGTGGGAACGAGTGTGTATATGTACGTTATCAACTGCTTCGTATTATCATAAATAATAGCGGCTACTATTAACTAAGAAACAAAGTAGGAACCAAACAATAAAAAATACATAAAAAATTTGGCGTCGCCTATCGACGGCGTTCGAGCGCGCTGATAATTGTTCGAATCGCATGACATCTCTTAGTCGACTCATCATATCGAGGGTTGTTCATCGACGTGACTGTTCAATCATTACTCGGTCATAATCCGAAGGACGATTGACCTATCATCGCTCTTGTATCGCGTGTGTGCGCACGATTCTAATGAAGAAATTTTAATCACGATGCATGACAAAATCTAACATGGGTGACGTAATCTTAACTTTCCGACGAGTCTTTCTCTCGTAACTTTCGTCTCGACGGGAATTTATGCGAGAAAAATTATTTGAGGTATACTCGAGATATATACCTGTACAATCTCTTCGATTAGCGAAGCGAGGTAACCGAGGTTACCTCTCAGAGCGGCTTCTCCGTCTCGTTCATTTTAATATCGTGCGAATTATTCTCTCCGCGACATTTTATGTATCGTTACTTCGCCGAGCGTGCTCCTCCTCGATGACGATATCAGAAATCAAGGCTATCCGAAACAATGCTCTGTCACGCCTCTGTTAACGGGAAATCAACTCGGAAAATTCATTGAGGGGGGGGGATTATATATCTGCTCGTTAGACGCATAGATTTTTCTTTCAATGTCTTTGGATCCTTACATTCTAGAATCTTCGAATGCTTCGATTATTGTTGGATCGCGCTATCTGTGACAGTAGCCTGGATCCTTACGCTCTACGATGTTGAAGTCCTTAAATTTTAAGATCTCTGAATCCTTACGTTCTAAGATCTTTGCGTACTTAGATTCTAGGGTCTTTGGATTGTTATAGGTTTTTAGGATCTGCGGATCCTTAGATTCTAGGAACTGTGGATCCTTACACTCTACGATCTTTAGGTTTCTTGGGTGTTACGGAATTTTTGCGCTCTTAGATTCTAGGGTCTTCAAGTATCCTTTTTTTTCTGAGGTCTGTGATAACGGAAACGAGCGAAGATACGGAAACTCAGTGAGTCCGATGGATCGTTTAAGCGACTATTAAATGACACAGGGTGCCCAAGAAGCCCCGATCCGCTTCTTAAGTAATCCCTCTAACAGTAATCACTAGCATCGATTTTGTCTCCGACCTGGAAGAATATCTGTCGTCCTCTCGTGCCCTACCCGCCTCCAACGATAGAAAATCAATTGAAAAAAAAAAAAAAATCCGAACCGGGACTTCACGGGCGTTTCACGTGATCTGAAACACATCTCTCCTGGATCGTGGAACATTCAGCGGGTAATCCCTAAAACATCACAGGACCACGGGAACTAAAACACGATGTTCTCCCCGAGCGGGTTCGGAAAAACAGGAGAAGAGATCTACCTTGCGCGCGCCAGAATAAAAAGGCGAGTATCGAGAGTATCGGAGGGAGAGGGATTTCGATCGACTAGAGGATCCGACGACGCGTGACAACGTCGGCGTGACAGACATACGACGATCGTCATCACGCTTCTCCCGCGAGTCGACAACTAGAGAGAGAGATCGTTACAAAAGAGTCTGCAAGTGATTCTCCTTCGTAGAAAGACTGCCCGCCCCGGCGGCTCGGGTCGTAATCGCTCGATCTTAATTTCACTGTAGAAATCTCGGAAACACCAAAAACTGTACGTCAACTGGCGTCCGCGTCGGGACATCGGTAGGTCATCGCGTCAACGACGTGTCGCGATCTCGAGGAATGCTAGTTTTATTAGAGTTTACCGACTTCTGCATTGTTTAAACACACGTTTAAGCACGCGTCAATAACGAATAACTACGAGATCTAACGATGGATTCCTCTAATTGACGAAGACCGGCCGGAAGTGGGTTAAACGGATAGATAAAAGGAGATTTGCAGACAGGCAGGAGCGGATCAAAGGAGCTGGAAACGGAGAAGGAGAGAGAGAAAACGAGTTCGCTACGAGGTAAAACCCACGGCACACCGATGGCGCGGTTTCTGGCGTCTGCAATCATTCTAATTGCAACATGCGGCCTACCGTTTAGTCGTCGTTTGTGTCATCAGTCGCGCGCGCGAGTCTACTATATATTTATTGCCAGAGAGATTCTAGTAATAAATAAATGATCGAATAAGAGTAAGCCGGGCGCGCGCTCAAATCCAACGCGAGAAACGCAAGGGAGGGGTGCGCCGCAGACTTAAGAGAGAGGTATCTTAGCTCGGGGTAACGTCGCGATGCGGCGACTGCGGCGGCGGCGGCGTCGATGGCGCCTACGCGTGCCTTCACGAGATCTTGTTCCGCCACCAGGAGAATTTCATCTTCGGGCTGAGATACTGGAAACTGATGACCGACTGCGGGATGAGCGCGAGTATCGGCAAGAAGCTGCCGCAGCTGCGGCCCTTCGGCTCCTCGTCACTCTCCACCGTGGTCGTGGTCGTGGTAGTCGTGGTGGTCGCCGTTGTGGTGGTGGTCGTCGCCGGCGTCGAGTACGGATAAGGTGTCGACAGAGGGTTGCACGTGATGCGAACGTCCTCGGGATTCCACTTGTCGCTCTCTTTCTCGGGGCTGCCGCCGCCGCTTCGCCTCTTCTGCTTCTTCTCGGTGCTCACGTATCGCACGACACCGTTCTTCTCGGATATGTCGCCGTCGCCGTTCACCTCGCACGTGAGCGGGCTCTTGAGGGACGCCTTGCGATACACCTTGGACCTCGGCGTCTTCGTCGTCGTTGTCGTCAGCTGCGGCGACGACGCCGAGCGCGTCGCGTCGGCGTTGCGAGATGTCTGAGAGGTCGGTGATGATGTCGGGGGGAAATGCTTCTTCTCTCCGCTTTTTAGGGTCGCCGTCGCCGTCCTCGTTGTTGTTATCGTCGTGCCGGCGCAACGGCGATTCTTATGAGGAAGGCCGAGACGACCGGCGGTCAATTGCGCTTCATAGGCCCCAGCCGGGACGAATGAAGCGTTCTTGAACCCTCAGCTATGCCGGCGCGAGTAAAAAGCGCAAGTCAAATCGTATTTTTTGAAGTGACAGTACTGCACGTCGGTGCGCAGCCATTCGCCGGTGCGGTTCAGAAAATCGGAATTCTTGAGATCGTGCGGACAATTAGCGGCCGCGGACTCCTTGTTGGCGAAGATCGTGACAAGGAACTTGCCTGGATTGAATGTATCGAGCACCCGTTTGATTATCTCGTCGTATGACGCCTCTGCGACGTTGCTCTCGAAGGACACATAGGAAAACTCCGGCTCCGGCGTGATGTGAATCGTCATGTACTTGCCCTGAAAAGGAGAGCGCGGCCGGCCGAGAAGACGGGCACGATTAATCGTCGTCGTCGGATACAATCGATCAGAAAGAAGAACCCGGGGTTGCCGCAGAAGAGGAGTTTTGAAATTCTATCCGATCTTTCCCATGTTTCCCAGGGGACTATGCTGAACTTTCCAATGACCAATGTATAATCTTAAGTTTTTAATTTTAACGTTTGGAAGCAGAGATTGCAAGAAAGATGTTATTAGAAGTAACGCAAAAACTTAGGCCCGTATTAATAATTGTTACTTAAAACTTGTCTCAAATGAGATATTTAGATTTGAATTCAGGATATTCAGAGATAGATGCGAGTTTTTCAGTTGAATAGCGCATACAAATATAAAGTCGAATATATCATATCGAATATATCATAAATTAAACTGAAAAATTCAGATTTAATTTTGAATTAAAAGTCTCAGTATCTCACATGAGATGAGTTTCAAATGGCAATTATTAAAAAAATATAGGCCTTAGAAATAACATATCCTAAATTCAGGCCAAAAAATGAATATTGGACAAAGAATGCAATTATGACAGGAAACTGAATCAAAACGCTGGATAAAATTGCTCAATCAAATTCGACTCTTCTCCTTACGGTCAAGGAATAATCGACTATTTGGTCACTTTTCTTACTGCTTAACCCCTCGCCATACCACTTAACTCGGAAGAATCCGGGCCCAAGCGATGCGCTCGATGGGTCGGAAAAGGATTAGGACAAAAGAACCCATTCGAGACATTCATACTTGGCCCGAGATTAAGACCACGAATTCGACTCGTGATATTTATGTTTGGTTCGAAATGTCAATTACGAGTCAAACTCGTGATATTCACGTTTGACATGAAATTAGACCACGAGCCTGACTTGTGATATTCAGGTTTGGCCCAAAATTCTCATCACGAGTCAGATTCGTCAAAGTACGGCAAGGGGTTAAATTTTTCTATATACCGCGGCCTTAACACGAGAGAAATAATTTATAATATGCGTGAATCTTGAACGCTTGACTATAAATGTTAGATATAATATTAAAAGAGATTATAAGTACTCTCTTTAGTATAAGATGATTTAAGGATTTATTTATTAATTGTGAGGAAAGTTCAACATTCCAGATTTTTTCATATTATCTTTCCTTGACTTTTCCGGGTTTTCCCTGACCAATTTAAATTTCCATGACTTTTCTCGCTTTTTCCCAGTCTGTGGCAACCATGAAGATGAATCGAAAAAAGAAGCTCGACTCACATTCTTCGACACTCCGTTCATGGAGTATCCACAAGGTTCGAACAGGAAGTCATCTATAATCATGTCGGGGATCAAATTATTGATGCCTGACTTCACCGTCGCCTCGTCGGCGGACGAGCAGATGTCTTTGGTGAAGATCGACATTATTTCCGGATCCAAATGCGTCATGAGTATCTCCAAAGTCTGATCCGGCTCCGGCGGGTCCTGCAGAGCCTTGTCCTTGAATAAGGCGTATAGATACCAGCACTCCTCATCCGGGTTTGAGCCCAAGCAGTAAGCATCGCCGCCTGCAATACGAAGTGAGGCCGCGTCACGAGACTCGCAAGTTATTTTCGCACAATTTAATTAATGCCAATCTCTAGATAGATTCAATAGATCTCAATATTTTAGCACTTTTTGAGTTTAACGTCCCTGCTAGCTGCCTTAAAAAATATCCGCTTTTCTTTATTTCGTATTATCGGACACTATATGGCTGGTTTAAATGAAGTTCGTTGTTTTTTTATTTTTTCCTCTTTTCTATTTGTCCTTAACATTTTCTTTTGCTTCTGTAAGAAAAGAAAAATTTTCCCGTTCGTACTATAAATAAATAAATAAATAAAGAGCTGATCGTCCGACTTTTCCGCAAGTTATCTTTACTATTTTACTTTTTTCTCGTCGAGCGACTGAAAGTAATTGACGAGAAGAGACGTAAAGACGTGAGATAATTACCGCCGAAAAGGGAATGTAGTAGAGTGACTTCCTCATTGAAAGTTTGGTGCGGCGAGATCTGGAGCTCCGGTCTCTTGTAATTCTTTCGCGAGTAAAAGACGTTCTGAAACATGCGCGAATGATAATGACTATGATTAAACGGCTATCCGCTTGGGTTTCCGCGAACGAGCGGAATTTTTATTTGGACGTACGAAAGACAAAGAACGACGATCGACCGTTATCGTCGAGAATGAAGCTACACGACCCTTATCAGGTCCGGATAAGACTTCTTCGCTCGCCGAACTACTCGATAGCGAGCACTTCTGTAGCACGCGACACTTATTCGCGTAGTTTTTCAAATCTGCGATCTCAGCGCTTTCGGATCGAATGTAAAAATCGTGTTTATCTCTTTCTCTCTCTCTCATACTTGTGACTCAGGGCTCGACGATTTGTCAGCAACGCTTCACATGCAGAGCACTAAGAACGTGCTAAGGTTAACTGATAAACGATCTGTTTTCAACGCTATTCAGTTCATCGCAACACAAAAAACAAATCTCGAATTCTTTAATTAACAATTACAATTGTAATTCACACGAATGCCTTGACGCGCGATACCCTCGATTCGGAAACGCCTGAGTCGGAACTGGATGGCATCGGTAACGGCGCCGAGTGCGGTATCATTAATGAACAGTGATAATCATGCTATAACTTATCGCTACTTACAAATAATTATTAGCACTCGTATCAATTGCCGATGGTTGCGAAAGAAAGATCCAATCCGCAAAATTTAATTTTCTTATTCTTTTGAGACTTTATTATCAACGGGTACTTTATTCTTCCCACATAAAATAAGAAGATCCAAGGCTTACACAGGCGTCTAAAATTAATTAAAAAACAATTTTTACTTTCTACCAGTTGTGCCATTTTTTACTAGTTGCGTATTTTCACCCATTTTGCTTGCAGGAAGAAATGAATAAACGGGTGACCCTTAAAAAAATAAAAACGGACCATGCTTGATTTCTTGAACGATTGTAAAGAAGCTCCGTGCTATTTATACTTTTTTAAATCACGTTTCGAATTTTCATCTTCATTCTTCTCGAAACGTGCTTCATGTGAGTCGGACGGATCTCTCTTGCATAACTATGGCCAATTGATAATCACTCGTGAGCCTGCCTCTTTCGCTCGACGTCTTATCGATCGATCCAAGAGTTCGGCTTACCGAGTTGTAACTCGAGCCGTCCGTATCCTCGAAAAAGAGAAGCCTTCCCCGCAATCCCGTGTCCTCGGAAATCGCACGTAATTTTAAAACAGCGGACACGAGCGGGGCCCTCAATACGATCTTCATTTTTGACGGAATCAATCTAGGACGGCCCGAAAATAAACTCGTCGATTGATAACCGGGAGGAAGAGGAAAAAAAAGAAGAAGCGCGTTGGATTTTATAAAGGCAGGCGAGAGATCCTCGTGCGGAGACTCCGCGCGCTCGATCGGCGGGTCCGGCTGCCTCAGTCGAGATTTGTCGCAGAGAATCGTCGCGGTCGCGGAAACGCATTTCGGGCAAGAGAACACCGCGCGCGTACACGGGGGGTATTATATCCCGCGAGATAGCCGAGATCAATAAACCAGAAGGCAGAGACGCGTCTCACGTGGCGGAGAGAGAGACACACACACACACACACGCTCCCCGCGTGTGTATATAGTCGCGTTTCTTATCCATGCACTAGGTCAAGTTATATAGCTAAGCACTCCTAAACTGTACGCTTCGCCCGCTCGGGAGGTGCCGGGGATCTCTCTCGAAAAGGTCGTCGCGTGCTCCCGTGAATTTCTCGCGGCGAAATCTCGATCAAGGTGGAACAGTGGAAGATCACCGGGCGAAGAATCACTCGATTTCTCGAGCGACTCCGAGAACAGAGTGAATTCTTCGCTCGGAGAGCCGCCGAGTGAATATTGTCACTCGGAATTGGAGGATGAAACTCCGAATATGTGTTCCGCTGCTGTTCAGAGGAACAATTTCGCTCTAATCGATTGAAACATTCGCTCGTGCGGAGTCGGGATCCACTCGAGTGAAGCTTTCGCGAAGTATCGGCGGTGTTTCCCCACTGTCGCTTTGATGGAGGATTTCGCGAGAAATTCACCGAGCAAGTGCTCTCTGCGCGCTTGGCCATGCTTCCTCCTCTTCGTCTCCTGTTCATCCTCAGCCGACGTTACCTTACCTCGACTTCGTCGCAACCGGTATACTCCTTGATGAGCTTTAGCAACGGCTGCAGACACTGTAGGGGTGTGGTGGTGCCGCATGTCTTCAGTATAAACCTGCGCTGCGACACGAACATGCTGCTCTCGCTGCGGACGAAATGAACGTGGTGAACGATTAAGCGCCGTCCCCGCGATTCGCACGGAGCATTACGTTAATAATGCGCGAGATGTAATTATGGGAGGAGAAAGAATCAGCTCTCGACAGTTAAAAGTTAACTCCCGAGGGGGTGAAAATTCGACTATTCGAATGATACAACTGAAATTTAATTAATTTCGCTCATCTCGTTTGTCCCTTTGCGTCCTTGGTTTTTTCCAACTTCCATTGCTAGGTCTGGTAATTAAAAGACGACGAGTAAAATAAGCCAATTTTCGTCTAATTGATGGAACCTTCTTCGTGCGTGTTTTTCTATACTCTTTGATGCGTTGAATCATTCACCAAATGTTAATCCCGAATCGATGGGAAAATATTGAAAATATCGCATTCAAAGGACAGTTTCGTCGAAGTCTGAACAAAAGCTCAAGAATATATAACATTTTCTCATCTTCTTTTCTCTCGTGTTCACCGTGTTTGTCAAAAGTGCAGTTAAAAAAAGAAGTGTCACGCAGTTTTAAGAGCAATTTCTATCGATCGACAATCGTTGCGGACTCGAACGCATGTTTCTGGCTCCTGCTTGAGGTAAAATCCTAAAGACGTTTTCATGAATTCGAATCGGCAAATTTACTTGGAACACGGTTTTTTAGGGAAATGAACCTCGTAGTTCAATTATAGAGGTTAATGACCACTTTGTATCGTCACTTTAGATTCCAACGTTGACTGTGAGTAAAACTCGCTCGTTGGAGGTCATGAGAAGCACACGTGGCATAGATTAAAACGGTGAAAATTCTTAGTACCGACCAATAACCGGTCGTCAGAATTTGTGTTATTCTCTACTTTGTAATTTTCAGCTTATCAAACAAAATATTTCAGAGGTTGTTACTTTTCTTACTTTCAAGATAAGAAATGGTACATACACCATTAGAGAAAGATAGCACTCCAGTTCCCGAGGATTTGAATAGTAGGAAGATAAGTTTGATAAACCGAGTAATCGTTCACTGTCGAATGCAAGATAAGTTCAAGAACTTTTTAAGAAGAACGGATTCGATCAAATGTACCGCGACTTGTGAGAACAATCGACATTGCCGCATTCTGAAGACTCCAAAGTGGCAGGAAGTTAATCTTGATGAACTGTATAATCGGGCACTGTTGAGAGAGATAATTCAAGACCTTTCTAAAAATAGCTCGAAGAAAAGAGGAAATTCTTCAATCGAGAGTACCGCAAACTATCGGAAGAAAACAACATTGTTACATTCCGGAGATCTCATCGTGCATCCTTAAACTAATCTTCACATTCCTTCGATCCATTAACGGCTCCGTTTACTCAAATATTTTCAGATACTATCGGTGCCCGCCACAATTGTACATAAGGATGGGCGACAGATAATCTGAACCCTGACGAAGCACGAAGCGGACCACCACCTAGAGAGGTGTTCGTCAATCGCGAAGATTCCGGATTCCGCGGGTACTCCCGGAAGGTACGAAGTACTCGAAGATCGGCGAAGAATGAAGGTTATTAAAAGATATCTACTTGGCTACCGTTGCCGGCTATTTCCGGAGCTATGGCAGTTCGCTATTAGGCAGACTCGTGTATAAAGACAAGCCGCCCGAACACAAATATTCGCACTTTCCGCGAAAACGAGAAGAAGAAACGCTGACGTGCGGGCAACGACGTTACATCAACAACGCATCATCGTCGTCCCGATAAGCCCATTCACAGAATTAATTATACTCATTCATTAGCTATATTAAGAACTCGCGGCCGGAGTTTCATCCAATCGTTCACCGACATCTTTCCTTTGGTTTCTCGTCGTGAACTTCCAATCACCGTTCCGTGATGTCTCGTCTGGAGACGTCCGAATTTTTTCCAAATTCGTCGAGACGACCCCCACGGACGACGCGGTCCGAAACGGTGAATCTTCTTCGTTTTTTGGCGTTTCTCCTTGAGCTTCGGCGGTGAAAGCCGCCGGAAAGTAAAACCACCGTAAAAGCTCATTATAGCGCCGTCGAAGGTTATCAAGGATAGACGGTGACCTTTGATGATGCGAGACAAACGAGCGATAATGAGAAGTAGAGAGAGAAGAAATATCTTTCTCTCTCACATGGTTGTCTAAATATAATACGATAAATGGACGAAAGAGTCGATAACGCCGACCAGTGACTGTGTCACACGCGGCATTGAGCAAGCAAAAATTCCACCAGTCCCATCCGAAGAGAAATTAATTAAAATTAAAGGAATCTCCGGGGGAGGCGGCTCAAATTTCAATTTCAGCCGTGAGAGCCATCGTTGGTTCAAGTTCAAGTAGCGGATCTGCAGCAGATACGTCTCTCTTAGTTATCGACACGCATTCACATATGACATATCCGCTTGCTAAACTGACTGCTATTTCCCATACGACGATGCGCGCTGAGAGGATGCAACGACGAACAAACATCGAGGTTCCAGGAAGAGAGACCGGTCTACATCGTAAAAGATATCGATCGCTCGTGGTTAGTCGGTTTAGTTCACGAAGGCCGAAGGATGCCTTGAAGATCTATAAATCTCCGCGAGTATTGATTATCCCGACGTCCTCCCGTAATGAAGTCGCAGTTTCACTCACGGGGAGAAACGAGGATTCGCGGCAATTCTCTTTCCCCCGGCGAAGATGCCGAGGCTGACGCTTGTTGTATCACCGATATCCCCCGATTCTCCCCGATCCCCAAAATCCCGTTCCAGGTATAAATTCCAGGACAACCCGGCCTCATCGTGCGAATTTTCCTCCCTCGTAATTCGTTTTGCCGACGAGCCCTTCGTCCTTTCGAGGACGCACGTGTCTCAAGCGTAGTAGAAAATAGGATTGCCACATTTCAAATGAATTTTGAATTCCCCCAACTTCGTTGTGTTTTCCAGACGACAGTAGAGAATTTCTCATGACCAATATGTGACCTCAAATTTTAATGCTTAGAAGCAGAATTATAGAAATGATAGTTTATATTATTAGAAGTAATATTAACTTAGACCTATATTAAGAATTGTTACTTAAAACTCAGATTTGAATTCAGAGTTAGTTTTTCAGTCGAATAGCGCTTATAAAATATAAGGTCAAATACATCATGAGATTCAGCTGAAAAATTCAGATCTACTTCTGAATTAGAAATTTGAGTATGTCACATGAGTATGTCACATGAGACGAGTTTCAAATCGCAACTATTAAAAAAAAAATTCCAGCCTTTAAAATTTAACGACATAATGTAATCCTGAATGCAAATTCAGGCTAACAAAAAATAAATGAGTATTGGAAAAGAACGCAATTATGACGGAAAAGGACGATTATGAATAAAAACGCGGAATAAAATCGATCAGTCACAATCGATTTTTCTCCTCGAGGACTGACCGACTGTAATTTTTCTTACCGCTCAAGTTTTTCCACGTGCTTAACATTTAAGAAATGACTTGCAAAGTGCGCAAGTCTCAAATGCATTTAACTACAAATTTTAGATATGGTATTAAAAAAAAGTACTCTTTATAAAAGAAGAGAGCATTTAAGGAAATTATGAGCAAAGTTCAAAATTTCAGACTCTTTGTATCTTTCCCTGACTTTTCCCAGTTTTCCAGGTCTGCGGCGATCAGGTCTGAGGAAACCTTGATCCAACGGAGCTGAAGAATCTACGAAGGGATAAGGACCCTCGCCAACAGCAAAACCACGGATAATACTTTCCGGGTTTTCCCGGCCGGGTGAATCCAACATTTCGCGAGACGCATTCGTGGATTTGAGGCGGACGAGGGGTTGAACCGTGCGCCGAAGTGTCACCTTGGCTATATTTATTTATAGGGGCGGATCAGCAGCAGTGGGTCGAGCCGCGCACCCTCGAATATTCTGGAACCGGGGCATAGCGCGTAGCGTTGCGTCGCGTCACGTAGTCGTCATCGTCGTGGCCGGCCGGGCCGGCCCGGACGGTGCACCTTCCATCAAAACAATTCGATATATCGATTAACCACCGGCACACGGGTGAGTGCCTCTCGGTCGCCGCTGCTTCCTCTCTCTCTCTTTCTCTCCCGGAATATCCCCGCGCCGCGCGAAAAATTGCGCCGTTGTTTCGCCGCGGCGTTCGCTTCCTCCTTCTCCTCCTCTTCCTCCCTCGCCGACTCTTCGGAACGGATCCCGAAACCGCCGTGTCCTTCGGCCACGAGCAGTACGCGAAGACACCATTCGTCAGATTCCCGCGCGTCGTCGCAAGTCATTTTTCTAAGTCCTCGTAGTGAATGGCGTGACAAATTGAAGCCTGCCGGGAATCCGGCTTTCCAAAATTTCTCTCGGGAAAGGTTTCCCCGCTCACCTGAAACTTCGAGCTCAACAATCCGTCTTCCCGACGAATATTTCTCCGTTGCCTGCCATAAGAAGCGATATCAAGTGCCTCTAGGAAAAGCAAATGACGAATTTGCGGGTTTGCGAAAATCACCACCGCAAATTTTACTAAATTCGGTAAATCAATGGTCTGAGTGGAAATCAGTAAGACGGCAGATGAATATCAGCGGGGTACTTATTTGCGAATCTGGGTGTTCAGGTGTAGGAGACTAAACCGGTTTCCAGAGGCAATATTAATAAGAACAATGATCGAATTTGTCAATCGTCACAAAAACTATGAATTTATACCGAACTTACGCGGACGAATTTACTGCAGGTAAATTTTTGCGTAATTTTTCGATGTGAATTCAATTGCTGACTATTATGACGACGTTCCCGCGTTAAGTTGAAACATATCGGAGGCATCGACGACGAGCGACAACTTTCACACGTAGAAAATTTCTTCTCCTAACAAACTTCCAATTTTTCTAATTATGGAGAAATCATCGCTGCTACTGAATATTCGTTGCGACAGCAATAAAATTTAGTTGGCATAACCAAGTTGTTTTGCTGTTCCATATGTCCAGCAAATAGCAATTAATACTCTTAACAAATCTTTCTATTGTCCAAACAAATTTTTTCTGCTGTCACTATATCAACGAACAATTTGTTGTTCTAGCAAAATTTTCTTCTCCGTGTGACAGATTTCGCTGTGGTAGCATGAAATTTATTATATACTAGCAAACTATATTTCTTCGTATAAGAATTGATATTCAAGGAAAATGCAAGAAAAAGAGCAGGCCAGAGAAGGGAGGGAGAAGAGAATTTACCTAAGTATGAAAGTATATACTTGGCCAAGTTTAGTAAACTCACGCTATGTATATTAGGGTTAAACGATCGTAATCTCTTCGACCCTCGAGTAACAACGACGCAAAATTCGACGCTGCTCGAGCGGGTGTGAGTCAGTCCACACTGAGAAAAATCAGTCGCCAGAACAAACTATATATTTTTTCAACTATATAACAAAAGGCTTCTTAGAAAAATTACAATCAAATATATATATATATATTTGATTGTAATTTGATTGTAATTTGCTGGTGATCACCTAAAAATTTTGCTTCTAACGTCTATCACACACACACACACACACACACACACACACACACACACACACACACACACACACGTTAAATTTATCAAAAAACTTTTTTGTTAATTAAAGATCTGTAGGGAAACAGTTACCGAAAATGTTACTGTTGCTAATCGCGCATCATCATTTGTTATTTCAAACAAACCACCACCATTTGTTATATCAAACAAACCACCACCGAGCCAATGCAGAGAAGTATTTGTTAAAGCAACGAATTAAAGGTACAAATTATTTGCACTACGGGGTCATTTTGTTGTCCCACATCTGCAAACCATTTGTCGCGGTTATATCTTGTTGTTAAATCGACGATCAATTATCTGTTAAATCAACAAAAGCGTTTCTTCCAACACGGTCAGCTATACACAATTAACGAAGACGGACGGAGACTTACCTGAGAACGTAGGCGTCTACTTGTTCACTGCGACAGAAGCTAATGATCTCGCAACGAACAATCTTCAGCAACGCTTCCCACTTTTGCCTGAAAAACAACGGAAATTCAGTCAGTAGCGTTCAGACACACGCCGGGCAAATTGTTCGGCCGGGAGCCGATCTGCGAATTCGCGTGACAGGACGGGCGACGAAGTTTCTCTCTGAAATCTCGTCGCACGAAAACGCGGAAAACGTCCGTGAACATTTTACAGAAAGTTGCATATGCGATATCTCGTCCGGAAGTTCGTCGCAAATTAGGAAGGAGCGAACAACTGAAGCGGATTTTACGCGCGAATCGGCGGCAATCTCGTGCAACAAAGCGACTCGTGAGAGTGAGTGAGTGAGTGAGTGAGTGAGTGAATGAATGAATGAATGAATGAATGAGTGAGAGAGAGAGAGAGAAGTGAGATCCCGTTAAATCGAATTAAAATTTAATTGAATCTTTGATGCCCCTGTGGAAAAGGTCCACGCACGAGCCGGTTGAAACAGAATTCATCCAAGAGATCCGATTAAGCGAGCGATTCCAGCTGCGGCACTTTTTACTACGCTCTTACAAAAGGCTCTACTCTTTACACTTTCTGCGCTATTAATTAAGGACTCAGGTCTCTGCTAGGACATCCAATTCTCGCGCGAAAGACTCGGGGCTTTCGCGCTAGAAGCCTTACTCGAGGAGCGAAAGAAACGTCCACCACGAGAAAAATCCGTTTTCTCGGAACTATATCATATCGCAGTTATCTCGATATCGAGAAACTCGGCAACTCAAAAATAACACCGACTCGAGAATCAAGCCGAAAAGGAGCTAGCAATTACCATGATGAAGGAAAAATAGATAATCGAGAGTAGATGAAAATACCATCGAACAATCTTCCGGAACACCTTAAGAGGTACCGAATGTTTGCCGTTCGTGACGGATGTTTCTTTAAGACCGCCGACAGAGGCCATTTTTCCGATTCTTGACGAAACAAAAGAACTCGTCAAAATGAAGCCGATGATAAATCAGCCGAATGACCGTTTTGTCACGTTCTCGGGCCGCCTCCGAGACGTTAAATCTTCCTCGGGTCGTCGGAAGGCCCTTTCTCGATATCTTCGCCTCGACGAAATCGTCGACCTGACCGATCTGATAAATAATTTAGGACACGAAACATCTGTCATTCCAGATTGACTCACGTGACTAAGCGGGCAAGTTGAAATTTCGCGCGCGTCCGAAAGGTAGGCCCGATGTCGGACCTTGAGCGCCTCGTATCCGGGGTGTAGTCGCCCCCGGGTCAGGCGGGCGCTCTAAATTTATTGCCTCTCGCCGCGCCGAGATATGCCGAAATAAACAGTACTCGCGGTAGCGCAGGCTCCACCTGAGGCGTACACCCAGGAGGTTCAACGACATTCTGACGGAGCGTAAACGGCCGTAACTCGCGCGGCCTCTATCAATCACCAGTTACATAATTGACGCCATGCGGACGACGGAACAAGGTTCGTCCGAATTATTGCCAAATATTTTCGCGGCCCGAACGCGCGCGCCTTTCCTGCCCAAGTTCTTCGTGACGTTATGACATTTTTGGACGAGATCGAGCTGGCCGACCGCGCGATCGAGCGCGAAAAGACGCCGTCTGCGAAGGTTCCAGGACACCTATCATGGAACTCGGTATCGATTGTGTAATTTTCCTCCAGATTTGAAATGTGAAAGGTGGAAATTCCGAATGTTTTCAAATTGGAAAATTTGTATTTTTCACGAGTTCACGCTAGAAGGGAAGATTCGTTACTCCCTGGTGGTTGAACATGAATTTTCTCCTGTAACGTGAACTCGTGAAAAGTGAACATTTTCAAATTTAAAGACACTTAGAACTTTCATTCTTCACTACCGCTTTAGGAAAAAATTATACAATCGGTGACCTTGTTAGGAAAGGTTTCCACTAGGTATCGCTCAATTATTAATTCCTTAGATTTCCATCTTGTATTTTCTAGGAAATAACTGAACAATTCTGACCGGAACAGGAAATTTCGTATGGACATATTCAGAATCGATTTCGAACGGAATCTTTTAATTATTCTCTATTTTAAGTGTTTCCAAGTTAGAAAATTTGACATTTTTCACGCTAGCGAATATTCATGGTCCCTTGGGAGTTCAGTTAGAAATCTTCTTTTCTAGTGTTAACTCGTGAAAAATATAAATTTCCTAATTTGAAGACATTTGGGATTTCCAACTTTCATTTTTCGACCGTGAGGAAAAGTTATAAGACCTAGTTTGTTCTTTTCAACTGAAGTACTTTGCAGTCGTTTCTTTTAGAATTAAAAAAGGTATTCAATCACGCGTCGAAGGAAAAAGAAACAACGTTTCTATGCAGCATTAGATAAATGCAGTATTAGAAAAATAAAGGCTCGGAAATAATCAACTTTTATCCAACTTTCTCGCAGATCTTTTCAGTTTCTGTCCTAAAAGTAGAAAAAAATAGGAAGATTTACGTGTGCCCGGTCAAAACCTACCACGTTTATTTTTTTCCATAAAGAAGACAAGAAATCGAAATAATCCGCAAAAAAATGGGACGAAAACCAGCTTTTTTCTAAACTTTTCGAATTATATAGCATTAACGCAAAAAAAAAAACGAATGAAGAAAAAGGTGGAGACGCGAAAAAAGAATTAGCTCCCACATCTAAAAACTAGCAACCCCATATAATATAATTGAAATCAAATTGCCAGACGTAGTTTTTTAATTAAGGAAAGTAATTTTCTCCCGACTAGAGTCGTACGACTATAGTCACAGCTGCGTGCGACAGTAGTTATAAAAATTATCTCCCACAGCTACAAATTAGGTTTGATAACTGAAAATTTCAGTTGTGTCACATGGATGGCTAGCTTTTAGCTGTGGAAACCAATTCTTATTGTTTCCATGAAGAACGGGTCTTTCGAATTTCCATCGGCAGGCTGTTCCTACGGCCGTTTCCGACGTGCGCTCTGAAAAATCGCGGGCAGAGACTTCTAACAGCGGGAAGAAGACCCCGGGAAGAAGTCCGAAGGAATTCGCCGCGATATCGAAGAATGACTCTCGCTATTGCGGGTTCGTAACAGTGCGATAACACGAACGGCACATGTCGCGGGACGCTTTGGACTTTCAACTCCCTTCAACGGGGACGACCCAATCGCTGGCAAAGTGGCCGCAGGAGCTGCACCTGTGAGGAACGTCCGTCTTACGACCTCAGCAGAATGGTCGACTTACAATTTTAAGACGATCTGTCTCGTGCCCTACTCTTTATCTAAATTATAACTTGTTTGCTTTTTTTTTATTAACCAATGGCTTGTTATCGATCACAAGCAGGCTTTTTAATTTAAACTCAAGTCATTCAGTGCGTTGCTTAAAGACAAACGAACTCTCTTATTGATAAAAGTGCTTCTAAAAGTGACTTAGAAGCCACCTGATTAGCCGGGGAGACACGTTTAAGGCACTTTTATCGATAAAAAAAATGCACACTACAAGCCAGAGGTTTAGAAATATAAAACATTGTCTGAGACCTGGATTTCCATTTTTCGACTAACTTATGGTTTAGACTCAAACTGATGACAATGCAAACATTGTTTTCCTACCCACGGTTAATCGTTAAACTGATGTTTCTGTGATGGTAATCCTTAGAGTTTAATGATTAACCACGAGTAGGAAAGCATAATTTCCACATTATCGTCAGGTTAAACTTAAAGCACGGGGTAGCAAGCGGAAAATGAAAAACCGGGCACAGGAAGAAAAGAGTCAACCATTCTGGTAAGGTCCTTAACGTTGCGCTACACAAGCATCGGCGGAGGTCTTCGCCGAGGGTCCCGCAACGTACGCGCGCGAAATCGCGACACCCTTGCTGACGTCTCAATCTTCTCTTGCCGCGCCGACTTGCCGCTCGATAATATACGTGACATGCGACGTGTCGGCGGTCGCACGCGGAACATCGTCGAGCGCGCGTCCGCGACTACGTCTCCGCGACCTTCGTCTGATCCACGGTCTATCATTTTCTGGTCAACTTGCGGCTTAGACTCGTCTGACAACCTGACGATAATGTGAAAATTACGCATCTCTATTCATAGTTGTGCAATCCCGCGCTAAAATTTAAAAGTTACAAAATCCGAGTTTAACGTTAATCAACCGTGAAACAGGGAAATACGATTTTTGCATCACATCGGACTGAGTTGAACTATAAATCAATTCGATAATGTTAAACCAGACGACGGGAGAATCCGGTCGGGGGATATCCCGAGCAGCTGCCGTCTGCGCGCTAAGTCGCCTCGTTGAAATTCGACGGGAGAGAAGAACGTCGTCGATTCCGCGTCTTCCTTTCAGAGACTCCTCGAGCCGAGGATGTCCTCGTGAACCCTAGCCACCCCCGTCAGCACCGCTCGCAGAGATACATTGTCGAGCGCGAAACTGGCAAGGTCACGAAAGTTCGGCCTCGCTGGCCGCTGCGTCCGCTTGTTCGACGCTGCTCGTCCTGAATGCGTGGACACCTGGCGAGCTTCGTAGGTGGTGGGCGACGGTCCCTGCGCCGCTTTAGCGTTCATTCTTGGAAAATTGTCAAGAGTACGTCGCGAGCGAGCGAGCGAGCAAGCGCGTCTGGGTGCACACGCTAGGTACATAAACGCCAGCCGTCGACATCGACCGGGACGACGATCAACATGAGGCCGCCGAGGCTGAGACTTCCAACGGTCGACGCCGGCGCGTCTCGTCGGTGTCCGTCCTCTGGCCGGCGTCGACTGTCATCGTCGTCATCGTCGCCGCGCGCGCAAGAGAGAGAGAGAGAGATAGAACGAGCAACGCGCCGGCGGCGCAACTTACCGCGGTATCTGCCGCAGATCGCCTCGCTGGCTGTCCTTGGAGGAGCTGGTGAACCAGATCTCCAGAAGCTTCTCCACTCCTTCGAAGAACTGCACGCTGTCGGCGCAGTTGTCTCTCGTGTCCGCCATCCTCTGGACAGAGATAGAGAGAGAGAGACACACAGACAGAGAGAGAGGAGAGAGTACCTCGCGCTCGGTTGCCGCTGCTACTGCTGCTGCTCCGCCGTTTTCCCCGGCGCAGCGGTGGCGCGATGCTCGTCGTCGTCCCGCGACGTATCTTCGCTTCTTCTCTCACTTTTGCTCGCCCGAGATCTCTCACGGGATCTCCTCTCCTTCTCGCGCGCTCTCTCCCTTGGTGTGCCGCGAACCGGATCGCGGGTCTTCGGTGACACGAAGCAGTAATAATCGAACACTCCCGGTGGGACACCGATGACGAGCACCGCCGTCCGAGCGCTCGTACACTGACTGACACACTGACCACACCAGATCACACACTGCTGACTGGGATTGACTGACGGATCCGCCGGTGCTGCCAGACACGCTGCGCCGCCGCCGCCGCCGCTTATATACCGCGCCGGCGCCGTCGCCTATATATCGCGCCGGCGCTCCGCCCGACAGCCCTTGCTTCCCGGCATCCCATTGGTTCCTTCCACTCGCCCTCGAGGACGATTGGCCGGGATCCGCCACCTCGCACGCACGTACTCCCGCGCGCACCCACCCAGCCAGGCACCGACCTGTCACGTGACTGCCGGCAGGTGCGTACGTAGTCCGGACGATCGTGCGGATTTTTCGCGCTTTTCCCCTCCGCCATTTCGGCCGAATACGCGCGACGATACCTTCCGGGGCGTTCTCCCGTCGCATGCCTGCGCCGTCAAGGATCGGACCGTCGGCCCTCCGTTGACACTGCTCTCGCGGAACGCACGTAGAATTCGTCCTCTTCCACCCGGAAAACCGCCGCCTTCCTCGCCTTCTTTCGCTCGCGCGTCTGCAGAGTGGCGTCGCCCACGGCGGCGGGCGGAACCAATCCTGTTCCAATCGCCGATAAGGGGTGAGTTGCCGACGCGCAACGTGTGGCAATTTCACGCAATGCTTCGCGCCTAGTAACCCGGGAGAAATTTGTTCTTCGAGCGACGAAGCGATCACGCCGCTGATTTTCGAGTCTTAACGAACTCGTCGCGCTTTGTTCACATTTTCTATTTGTTATTGTTTCTCAATCGCCGGATCGTTATTGTTTTATACTTGTGGAAATTTGCGAGCGAACTGGATCCAGTTACTTCTCGGATCGCGCGATTTTCGTAGCTAACTTCACGGAAAAATTAAACTTTCAATGGTACCATATAATTAAAATTTTTAAAAGATCGGAGGAACAACTTGTTAACGAGCCAATTGTTGGAAGACCAATCATCTTCGGTGATGAATAATACTTGAGATACTAAATAAAGAATGTTTTAAATAATGTTTGATATGACGTTCATGAGATTAACACTTTGAAGCCTTGGCCTTAAAGATGATTTATTAATGGGATCTTGGACAATTTTGATGTCTATTAACCCTTTGCCATATCATTTAACTCGGAAGAATCCGGGCCCAAGTGATGCGCCCGGGAAAAGATTGGGCAAAAGAATCCATTCGAGACATTCATACTTGGCCCGAGATTGAAATCACGAGTTCGACTCATGATATTTATGTTTAGTTCGAAATGTCGATTACGAGTCAGACTCATGATATTCACGTTTGACATGAAATTTTACCACGAGCCTGACTCGTGATATTCAGGTTTGGCCCAAAATTCTCATCACGAATCAGACTCGTCAAAGTATGGCAAGGGGTTAAGAAATTTTCATTGTTGATGTATGTCGTTGTAACTTAGCAACCAATATATCAATTTTAAGTGTGAAAAGTGTGGAATTAAATAGCCAAGCCCGAGTTATACTTGGGCTTCCGCAGTTGTCGTCTGCGCGCTACCCCGACCTATACTCGGGCTTAGGAGAAAGAGTGTTAACGATATCAATGTGTGAGCATGCATGCATTGTGTGTGTGTGTGTGTGTGTAGATTCCGTAAGTTAGTTTTATAAATAACGACATAGATAATCAATGTAAAATAATTAATTCTCACAGTCCAGTACAAGGTACGTATTGCATTTTACATCATATAGTTTTTCTTATTCCCGTTTCTTCTTTTCGTTCTTCATGCTATTTTTCTTCTGTTTATCGATACGTCGTTTCACCGCGGGTTGTTTTTGCACCAGCATGTCCTCGGTCATGGGTTCAATCACTTGACCGGATTTGGTGACCACCGATGGCTGAATCAACCGTCTGTGAGCGTTCTCCGGCACGAAGGTCCTACCCAGAGGAGCTCTCATGCTCGCCTCGAAGTCCCCGACGGTAGTGAACGGATACGGCAGTTCGCTGATGAGATGCTCTTTCAGCTTCTTGTTCTCACTCTCGAAGATGATCACATCGCCTTTATTCTCGTCCTTACGCGGCGTGTCCTTGGGAAATTTCGTTATAAATCTTTTGTTCTTACGCTTCCCCTTCCCCTCCTTGATGTTTGTTCCCGCCCAGGAACCCCACCCGGGCAAGCTCAAGTCGATGTTCTGCGGCTGCGAATTCTTTATCTAGAAACATTTGGTACATATTAATTTTTGCACTAACATAATTAGATTCACTGATACTCAATTAACATATAAATTAAGGTCAATAAAAACCAATCGTTCCAAAAATATGAAAAGAAAATCATGAATATCAAGTAACAGCAAAGTTTTAAGCAGGTTCGGTAGTGATGGTTTTTTATGATGAAAATTTTTGAAATTTTAATAGATTATTCGGAATAATAGTATTATATCACAACTAAATTTTTGAAGGATTTCACTACACCGTTTGTAAGATATATTGACCTAAAAAAACGACATTTTAACATGTAGGCTTATGGAGAAATCACTTAAAATTCAAATAAAAAAAAACGGCTCAATGAAGATGCTTTTTTTTTATATGAAAGAATATTATTAAAATAACATTCTCAGTCAAAGTTTGAGCGAGCCCCACTACATATTTCTATTAAAAAATAGCTAAAAATGTGGTTGCAACAGACGACTTGGCAACGCTGTTTTCGGTGCGCGCTTTGAAATTCAATGTATAGTAAAAAAAACTTCTTTTGTAATTTAAAACGTTTCATTGAAAATATTATTTTTATTAACACAATCGAAATTAACAACTCTTTCACCGTCAACAGGAATGTCAACTTTGTTCATTTCAACTGAAGAATTTTAAGACTTTGAGCTTTTTCTCTCATTTCACTTAACATTTTGCCTCGTAAGTGTCTATCTACTTTTAATTTTTTAACAAACTTTCCATTAAAACGAATTCTTTCTTTGCCAGCAGCATCCGTAGTAATTTGAAGGTTATTTGTTTTTCTTTTAACTTTACCCATTTTAAACATCAAAGTCACACGATTTCAACAAGTACATTCATTTAAATTTAACAAATAAATTATTTTTTACAGTCAATTTTCAATTTATTAATTATAATAATTTTAATAGAGTACACAAGTACAATGTCAATAGACGACGACGACGACGTGTCAGCAGCCGAAAAAATTTGCGGCGTTGTCAGACGTTCTCTCTCCCCTTGCCTCTCTAAGATTTCCCCCCGCTAACACTACCGAACCTCCTTAATTGATTCATTAGCGCAACTACAAATAGTTTTACGCAATCAGTTATTTAAAATATTCTTTGCATACCTCTTCCTCCTTCTCTCTCCTAAATTCTTCCACAACATCGTCGTCTGCGAATGCCTCACTCATTATCTTGTGAGTCTCTTCTTCCAGTTCATCGTTGTCCAGTATATTCTCCCCATCTACATCCAAATCTGGCATCTGTGTCTTCAGATGTTTCGGCTTTATACTCAAATATTTCTGCGGATCGATTTCCGCGGTATAATTATTCGATTTGTCCGCGGTTTCTCGCTCAGAGTTCATTATTGCCTTCAAGTCCGTTAAATCATGCTGTGGATTTTCCTTGGAAGTGGTTTCCTCCAACGGAACATCCAACTCGGGTTTCTGCTTAGAATTTTTGAATTCAAGATTTGGCGTGTAATCTTTGTTCCCCTTATCTTGCTCCTTCTCGTGTCTATTCACTTTGTTCCCCTCCTCGAGTTTCTTTTTTATCCTTTGCAGCTTCAAGTCGACTTTCTGTTTTATATTTTCTTCCACGGAATCGAACATGTCGTCTACGTTTACTTCATATTTCTTAGATGTCTTAGACTGCCTTGTATCTTTCTTCGCCTTAAAGTCGGTTTCCTCATTACGCTGCAATTCTTCGACATGCCATGTAGAGGTAGCTCCTACGGCGCACTTATTCCTCGTTTTGGCTTCGGTCTTCTTGTCGAATAACTTCACCTTTTTCTTTCTCGATCCTGTCTCATTCGAAGATACGATACAGCTGCTGTCCATTTTTTTCTTTACCCTTTTATTTTGGATAGATTCACTAGTCTTTTGGCTTGTAGAAGTAACAACAGAAGTAATCGTATCATCTAGAACAGAGTACGTCAGAGATTATCATATTATACAATAAGAAATATCACTAAATTTTCTTGTAAACACGATTAAACGAGTAAGTGCGTACCCGCTTTATTTGGCTTATCAGAAATCTGTTTCTCTGATTTATCATCTAATTTACGTTTGTTGGCAGCTGGCTTGGGCTCAACCTCCGCGACAATTTCTTCCTCAGCTTTCTTCTTCTTCTTATCATGGTACTTCCGGTAACTCTTAATAAACTCATCGATCTCGGATTCCTTTTTCACAGAGTTCATCCATGGGTTATCCTTATCACTACTTAAAAGCACTAACGGTGCCTCATTCTCATCGTTCTCATCATCTTCGCCACTATCATCGGCTGGCCTAACTTTCTGCGTCAATTCTCTACCAATAGACAATTGTTCGGCAAGCACCTGTCGAGTCTAACGATAAGAATTACGTTAGATAGAATATATCGTTTCCCAACGACTATTCGTCCTCATTAATAATCAATCTTCCTTGTCGAGCTTTAGATGAAGATGATACTCACTTCCTTGTCATATCTGGCTCTGATTTGCTTATTCTTGGCCCACTGACCCGTGCTCTTGTGCCTCAGCGACATTCGCTCCTCAGCACGAGTCCTGTCCAGTTGTTGCAGCTTCGCTAAGGCTTCTTCTGGATTAGTTTTCTGCAACTCTTCGAACTCCTTCAACTGCTGCTTGATTTTCTTCTTCCGTTCGATACGGTGAAACTTCTTGCTTTTAATCTTGCGCTCACGATGCGCCTTCGCCTCTTGATACGACTAAAAAAAAAAAAATGTAGTCTAAGACGATCTCTTATTAGTTTACTATTGAATTGTTTTGTCCCTTGTAATCCCTTAGTAATTATTTCATAATCGCATCGTAACTTGTTCCCTTTTACCTGCTGTGCTCTGAGTCTGGCGGCTTCATGTCTTTTCAACTTCATTTCCTCCAACGTCAACTCAGGTTTATCTTTTACTTCATCCTTCTCTTCAGGTGCAAGTTTCTCTACCGTGGATTCTACTTCTTCTTCTAACGCTTCCAACTTGCGTTGCAATTCAGACTTTAATCTGAGGCCATCTAGGAAGTGTGGGATGGGTTTATTTTTTCCTTTTTTTTTAAAGGTGGCCAATGGAAAGGATAAATGTGTCGCTGTCCTGTTTCTGGCGACTACAGCGTCCCATTTGTGCAAATCTTTCTTGACATGGTCAAAGTGTAGCTGCCTTCCTAACTATATATGATTTTAATTAATACAACTTCATATTACATATGATTTTATATAAATGATTTTATGTTAATTTGATTTTTTTTAGGCTTTCATAGTATGGAATTCACGAGGTAGCTACTGCCACATCTTTCTCACCTATGATCTTTCATCATTCATTTCACTGCTTCAGGGAAAGGAATAATTTAAAATTGACTCGTCCCTCAGTAAGAATTCTTTTATAATTGTATAAAAGAATAATCGGGGGAAGAAGGAAAGGATAATATTAGGATTGGTCAATTATAAGGATTTTTATAGAACTGAGAGGATAGAATCAGAAAGCCTCACATGTTAAGTTAGACTGCATTCAAAAACTATGCCTAGATACATCATTGAAGCTTACAATATTTGAAAATGTTTGAAGTATATAAGTATGATAATGATGGTCTTATTGGTTTAACCATAGTAGATGTAGGAAGAAAATTTCCCATCCTGAAATTTTAGGTAGATAGATGAAATTGCAGATAACTTGGATTTTAAATATTTTCAACTATAGCAAGAATGCATATATTGATCAAAAGAAAGACATCGAAAGTTATGGCGAAAATAACCAGCCAATATATGGTCCTCCAGGGATCATTGATAATATTTGATATATTTGTGTTTGAAAATTATCCATACTCTAAGTAAAACCAACCTGCCTCCAAACTACCATGTGTTCTGGTTTTTATTTTATTCTCAGGATATTTTCAAACACAGTCTTATATGTTTTATGTTAAAGTAACTTGATAACAACTTACTTTTTTAGCAAGTGGCGCAGGCAATGGCTTTGAAAGATGTTTGCTTTTCTTCTGAACAGATCGAACTTTTTTTGAAATTTGACTCTGAAATCCTTTCTGCTTCAGTGATTTCAGCAGGTCTCCAACATGTACAGCATCTTTGTTAGTTATTCCACTTTTTACAAGATGGTATTCCGATACCTCTAAAGTAGGTTCGTTCCTTTCTGCTTTATTCACTCTGCAAAAAGATTAAAAAAAAAACAATAAAATCATTCAATAGATCAATAGAGGCAATGTTTAGGTCTAGTCGTTTAACAATGCAATATTCTTTTCACTTTTACCTTTGTTTTTTATCAAGCTGTTCTACAGCTTCGATAAGCTTCGAGTGATTTTTCGAAACTTCTCTATCACTGTCTTCTAAGTCATTCATCTTAGCTTGGCCAGCGTTTCTGCTTTGAGCTTCTCGATTTTCCTCACCAGCGTGTTCACCAGGCAGAAAATGTTAATTTTATCTATGGTACATTTATGGTCGATTTAGGTTAACATATTTTTGAGTTAAACAAAAGGTCTGTTCGTTTTCGCTGCACCGTTAAACTAGTGCAGTAAGTTGAAGTAAGGAAACATATACTTGTCTCGCTTCAACTTATTGCGCTAGTTCAGCGGTGCAGCGAAAACGAACAGATCTAATAAGGCATAGGAAATGAACTACAGTTGCAGTTCTGCAAACATTTCCTCAAATTATTCACACAATTGGTTGGATTATATTTTTTCACAATTTCTCGACCGTGTACCTTCATCATATGAGATTTGGTCTGTTCTTTTTAGATGCACCGGCTGATTAGATCAAGAAATTTACGTATACATATTTTTAAATTAGAAAATTTACTTTTTACGAATTCACGCTAAAGGAGAAAATTCATGATCATCCCTTAGAGGTACGTTTAAAAATCCCTCGATGGTAGAGCATTTAAATGATTATGAGCAAAGATTGCTTCATCATGATTGGTTAATAAATGCTACTCTACCCGTCGAGTAAGATTTCTGAACACACCTCATGAATCTTTTTTTCTAAGTTCCGGTTTACAGTGTTTTAAACCTTAGTTCGGATCTACAATAGGTGGAATAAGTTTTAAGCAGTAAAAAATTGATCAATCACAATCGATTGTGAGAGGAATAATCGATTGGCCAATTTTTTACGTCTTAAGGCTCACTATACCTATTGTATATATCCGGATTTAAACTTTAAAAAAACTGGCCATTTACAGTCGATTATTCTCCTCACATTCGGCTGTGATTGGTCGATTTCTTAAAGCTCAAGGCTTAAAATGCCTATTGTAAATTGGGGCTAACATGAACTCGTGAAAAAATGCAAATTTTCAAATCGCATGCACTTGGAATTTTCACTTTCATGTCTCCGACTTAGGGAAGAATTACATGATTGGTACTCAAGTTATTCTGGTAGCAGAGTCCGAGTGTCTGATTGGCTGGACCACCATCTTCTTTGCGGTAACTCCGGCAGATGTCTCGGCGGTTCGCCGCAAAGTGCGCGATGAGTCGCGGAACGCCGCGCCACTTTTTCGGCCGCAAACAGTCGGCGAGCGAGAACAGCTGATCCTGTTTCTACGGTGCCGCTCCTACGAGCACATGTCCGCGCAATAATTACGCACGATATTGCGATTTTCTCGTGTCAGCTTGGGCAGTCCGAGCGACGGTGCGGAAGCAAGGTAACGTAGCGGTGCGCGAGAGAACGTCGGCGACAGCGCTCGTGTTCGTGTGCGATGAGCAGCCGGCGATAACCGGCGAATCCGTCGCCCACCCCGTCACCTTCGTCGTCGTTGTTGCTGCCGTCGTCCTTGTTGCGGGGAAACATGGCCGATCGCGATAGCGCGTCCGAGAGTGACTCGAGCTCCATCGACGGCGGGCCCATCATCATGATGCCGCCGTCGCCTGTGACGCGCGAGCAACTTCAAAAACGCATCGAGTCGCTGCAGCAGCACAACCGCGTGCTCAAGGTCGAGCTGGAGACGTACAAGCTGCGTGTCAAGGCCCTGCAGGAAGAGAACCGCGGCCTGCGCCAAGCGTCTGTCATCATAGTGAGTAGTTCTTTTTTTGTCCTCTTACCCGTCCACCCGCGATTCCTTTGTCGCGAGACTAACGCAAACTGGGGCTCTGGTGTTACTCGACAAAAATAGCGCACGGGACAAACGCGTGTGCTTGAATATCCGCCGAAATGACGGACGTTCTTAATATTGTTCTAAGTTTTCAGGAGAGTTCCATTATATCGAGCTTGAATCCTTTACTATGCAATTTATGTTCTATATTCGCAGCAAGCTAAAGCCGAGCAGGAAGAAGAGTTCATAAGCAACACTTTGCTGAAGAAAATCCAGGCCCTTAAGAAGGAAAAGGAAACTTTGGCTCATCATTATGAACAAGAGGAAGAATGCCTCACCAACGATCTGTCGAGGAAGTTGAATCAGCTGCGGCAGGAGAAGTGTAGACTGGAGCAGACCTTGGAGCAGGAGCAGGAGTGTCTGGTGAACAAGCTGATGAGGAAAATCGAGAAGCTCGAAGCAGAAACGCTGGCCAAGCAGAGCAACCTGGAGCAGCTACGGCGTGAGAAAGTGGAGCTGGAGAATACGTTGGAGCAGGAGCAAGAGGCATTAGTCAACAAACTGTGGAAGAGAATGGACAAGTTGGAAGCTGAGAAGAGAATGCTGCAGATAAAGCTGGACCAGCCGGTCTCGGATCCGACATCGCCCAGGGAGATCAGCAACGGCGATACCGCCACGAATTTGAGCACGCACATTCAAACTCTGAGAAGCGAAGTCGCCAGATTAAGGCACACCCTACTGATCTCGCAGCAAGAACGTAAGTAACTTCTTTTCCCTTGTGCTTCTGCTTGTATATTGCGAAAGCATCACTCGACTTCGGGCTTGATGCCCTAAACTCATCGGTTGTCCCTCAGATACGGAGAAGATGCAACGATACGTGAACGAGGAGAAGCAGATACGCGAGGAGAATCTGAGACTGCAGAGAAAGTTGCAACTAGAGGTGGAGCGTCGCGAGGCCTTGTGCAGACATCTGTCGGAGTCCGAGTCCAGGTTGGTGTTTGAATTCGATTGAGCTCACGTTACACACGCTCGACGTTTCACGAGCCCAACTGGCGCTCCGCATTGTACATGTCTAACTCGTTTCTTCATGGTTCTCTCTTTCTCTCTCTCTCTCTCTCTCTCTTTCTCTCTTTTACTTTCTTTCTATCTTTCTTTTTTTCTTCTACTTTGCTTTCCTTTACGACGCAGTTAGTTCGACAACTATAACCTGAGCAAGAGACATTTGTCCGATCTCACAGACAACTTGATGATGATTTTCGCAGCTTGGAGATGGAAGAAGAACGGCACTACAACGAAATCGTCATGTCCGGCGGCAACATAAGGACCCGCACAGTGTCCAGCCCCGTGCCCTACAATCCTTCGCCTAGTTCCTCGAGGCCGCTGAGCCCGGGTGAGTCCCAGTAGACATTCGTCTATGTAGCGGAGTCACAGAGGTATAGCGTACATAACAATATCGCAATTACAATTAGAACGAAAAATATAATTAATCGTACACGGTAAAGTAATATATCAAATTTATGCAAATGGTATTCATCAACGTATATATAAAGTGTTCTACTCTTGCTTGTACATATATATATATATATATATATATATATATGTACAAGCAAAAGTAGAACACTTTCTCCGAGTGCGCGTTCAGTGTGGTCGTTGGATTGAGCGCGCATTTTATCAATAGGTGTTAACGTGCTAGGTTCCACATCCAGAGAGGGCTTCAGCACTAACCGATGCTACGCTTGCGGCCAGCCGAGCACTCTTCCGTTCGCGAGCTCATCGCCACCCTCAGCGGTAAATTATCATATAGGGAAATGTCGTTAATGCTGGAAACTAATTCGTCACACATAGGCCGGCACTCATAGTCAGATCTTATATTTAAAACCGTCTCAAGTTCATCTTCAGATGCTTTATAGTCAATGAGTCGTACATCTGAAGATGGACTTAAGATTGTCTTAAATGTAAGATTCGATCATAAATACCTGTCTTAGATTCGTGTGCTCAACGTATGTTTCGAATACATGTTAATCCGGATCTATAATAATAATAAATTTCTTAGTCTTTTGCTCTAAGCAATCAAATATAACGTAATTTCTGAAAAAGGTGTTACCGTCTCAAATGTAACAACGCTTAAAACTTAGAAATTGCGATGTCTGATAGCGCTGGAAACACTTTTTGCTAGAAATTATGTTACAATTTGCTGTTTAGAGCAAAAGGATTTAGGGATATGACACACGGAAAAACTTAAACAATAAAACTTAGGTCTGATTTTTCATTTTCTAGTTAACTTGTGCTTTAAACTTAAACTAATAGTAATGCAAAAATTATGTTTTTTCTACTTATCGTTAATCATTAAACTAATGATTTTGTCGTGGTAATTTTTAAAGTTTAATGATTAACCATGAATTGAAGAACATAATTTTTATCTCATTAGATTAAATCTATAAACCACAAGATAACCAAGAAATAAAAAACTGAGGCTTAAACGATAAGCAAATTGATCAGTCATAGTCGATTATTCTTTGATTGTAAGAAGAACAATCTACTGTGATAAATCGATTTTCTTACTGCTTAAAGCTGCGTTAGGTTTCGCAAATCGGAAACATCGGTTTATTCTTAAGATTATCTTAACACATTAAAGGTGGGAGTCGTAGTACTACGATTTATCTCGACTGCGGCTTAAAGGCGGGAGTCGTAGTAATACGATTTAGCTCGACTGCGGCTTAAAGGCGGGAGTTGTAGTAATACGATTTAGCTCGACTGTACCTTAAAGTTTTTATGATCACACAAAATATCGCCCGCTCTAGGCGCTCTACTTTCGTCGAGATCGCCCACCGTTAATGTGTTAAGATAATATTTACCCAATGAAACTACTTTCCTGTAGCAACCAGAGCAAACCGATGTCTTCAATTTACAAGATCGAACTTAACGAAACCCTTTTAGTGCCGAGCAAAAGTATCGTACCTATGCGAAGAATACCGAGCCAATTTGACGAATTTGTTAAGGTTTGGGAAAAAGCTCATAAAAACCAAACTAAAAATGATATTTACAAAATTCAAAAAGTAGCATATTACGAAAGAAAGAAAGAATAAAGTAATGCCAATTATATTTCAATATTTGTTGAAAATCATACGAATAACAACAATATAAAACATGATGAAAAACATAGAAACAAATTTCTCTTCTACAAACAATATTTGCACATAAGAATAATCATCGTTTGATCACAGTTTTATGTAGATCACGTAGTATGAAGTATAAGTATTACATTTTCAATCATTTTTAACAAAATAACTAATATCAGACCTGAGAACGAAACTGTCCCGTGTCGAGTTTCTACCTTATCGCTCCAGCGTATACAGAGCCTCGGCACCAACCAGCATAGGATATAACAAAAAGTTAAACCCAAAACCAATTTTTTAAATTCTTCTGCAATGAAATTAGACCGTTTATAACGTTTTATAAATTTATTTTGAGATAGAGCTTTCTCGCAATGCGAATAGTAAGACGCCCTCGGATACGCGACGGTATATCGTCGTTGGCACTTTTCGCAAATGTTGCGAACGATATATCGGCACTAAAAGGGTTAAGCTCTTACTGCTTACGTTTTTGTGTGTGCTACGGCCCTTATTATAGTTGCTTTTCAACAAGAAGAAATCCAAGTCGACACAAGTCTAATTACATTATTTATTATTATTTTCTCCATTAAATGCGAAGTAAGGATAAATAACGATACAATTAAACTCGTGTTTTTTGCTGAAAAGCAACCTATACCTATTATAGATTCAGACTTGAAGAAAGCACGAAACTTGCTGGAGCTTCGTCCTTATCGTTTGAAGCTCCCCAATTAGCGGCTAGCATTACGAGCGATCGTGGCTGATCGTGAGATTGCGGTCTCACAGCTCAACAAGTCGCAAGTTTATTCATGAACGTTTGCCAGCAGGGACACATCGTGGCACCGTCCAGCAGACGTACATCGGACCGCTTCGTCAAGCCGGCTATTCCGCCCACCATCGTGAGCCCAGGCGGGCCGCCGACCATCGCTAATCCCATAACCGCCGCCGCCGCCGTTGCCGCGGGATCGCCTATGGACATCGCGAAGACATAAGTCGTCGGGCGGGCTCTACGGAAAACCCTTCTTATGTAGTCGCGCAAGGTACTTCTCTAAACGGTGCGTCCTAGCTAGGACACCGGAAGTTCGCCCGGCACTTCGCCGTCGCACTCGTTCGCGAGCGGCCACCCCCGTTCGTTAACTATTACTACTATTACTACTACTACTACTACTACTACTACTACTATTCTAATGTAACACGGGCTACGGCTAAGACACACATGGGACTTAATTAATCCGATTGAATCGCGGTTAGAGTTAAAACAGCGCGGTTCGCAGAGCCTCTTTTCGTCGCAGCGGGCGAACGAGCGGTCTTGGCGCCGCTCCGCCTGGCGGCGATTTCTCGTATGATGCCTGAAGTACCCATTCAGACGAGCTCTTTATCGTACGCAATTATATCATTTGAGTGTTCTACATAAAAAAAAGAAACATTGACATTGTTGCTTCCATGTTCCAAGTAACCATAGTATAAATGTCGAACGAATGCTGATGGACAGCTACGCGGTAAACGGAAACGCCCGATTATACCGTATTTCACGTGCGCTAAGAACATAACGAAAGTAACTAGAGTGTAGTGTTCGCGCGGTGTTCACACTTTTAACAGATACGCATTTGTTTAGCTTTCAGCCTGAGTAATCACTAGACACACACACACACACACACACACACACACGCACACGCACACACACACACACACACACACGGTACCGAGGCAGCAGGCGTAATTCTACTAGAGGGGAAGGTTTCGTTGGTTCTTTCAGCAAAGTTTCACCGACGGTGAAGCGCGCGAAGTAATCGATCACGCCAGAGATCTCTCGCTGATCTCGGGGACTATCGCGTCGTTTGACAGTCGTCATCATACTCGAGAATTGCGGATCACGCAGATTCGGAGATTTAAGGCCTTAAAGCTTCGACGATCCAGCGACCTCGCGATACTTAAATCTGAGAACTCGCGGATCCGAAGACTAGATTACGCATTCAGACAGCTTAAACATGTAAACAGTCCAAGAACTTCGATCCGAAAATTTGAGGACTCGAGTATGCGAGCTTTTAACGTTCAATCTCCGAGGTAACGCCGAGGTATTTCTCAATATTGCGCTAATTCCGGGAAATCTGAGTGTGTGGAGAAAATTGTGAGAAAAAGAACCCCCAGAATTTCCGTAAACTCCTTTCCGTCGAATTTTAAGTTGAGTAGTTCTGTCGAGTTCTGAGCGAGCTGAGTGTATTTCTTCCCCGAATTTTCGAATCTCGAAGTTCTTGATCGCCAACACCTACAGAGCACAACGCATTGGAACTTTGGTCTCTCTAATCTTAGATCTCTTAATGTTAGAACGTTGGGAATTTAGAATTTTGAAGCTTTGATACGTTGGAGCCACACGAAGCCTCGGCATCTTGATATCTCGAGAAGTGCTAAATATAATGGATGAGAGACAGATATTATATGTATTACGTTGAACAGAAGAGAGTTTGTTTGCTAATAAAAAATTGTTTTATACACACCAACGATAATTACGTAATAGTTTCGGGACTATTGTTGTTTATTATTGTGTTACATCGAAATCGGTCCTCGAAACTTCGTGGTTTCAGTTAAGTAGGAGCGTTCGCAGATGATCGGTTTTCGCTAATTCATTTTTTGGAAAGTCGGAACTCTCAAAACTTCTTTCACAGAGTGAAAGTACCCCGACATCTGCTTCCTGAAACCTTCACAACCGGGTAGCCCTTGTTTGAAGACCGCGGAATCTAGTGAAAATCTTGCATTCTGAAAGTTTGAGGAACGATAGAGATCAGCACGAACGGATCTTATCTTCTTTTCGTTCGAAGATTCTCGCCACTTTTCAACATCGGTTACGGGGCGAATTGCGAAACGACTGCGAGGAAATGTACTTTACAAGCTTACTTTTGCTTACGAAGCTCGACTACCTATCAAATGGTTACTCGCAGTTTCTTCGCTTCGACTTCGTGATGCAACGTGGCTCATGTAAACAATAAGAACCTTGTTTGTCAAACTGGTGTATTATACATGAAAAGTACACGCGAATCCGGTCAAAGTGTTGTTTATTATGTTATATCGAACGATATAGATATATATATAAAAATAAAAATATATATAAATATAAATATATATAGACGGTCGTATATATATATATATATATATATAATATAGAATTTTATTATAACATCAAGTTCTCTCATCGATAATTATAATACGCAGATATGCTTCACAGCTGCATAGTATGTATTTTACTCAAGCTTTTATGAAATACAGTCACGTTTTTGCTATTACATATTGCGTTTGTCTCTTCCTGCGAGCTCGGTGACGTTAAGATCAATCTTCGGACATCTTATTTTTGTAAAATTATTGGTAATGTTTTCTGTATCTATTTTAACTCTCTGACATCGACATCGTGATTATGTTTAATTATTCCTTTGACATACTTCTATTTACGTCTTAGGCTATCATCCACTTGCTGATTGCACGTCTCTAAAAGTCTAGTATTATTTCATTTTATTATGTTAATGTCTTTTCACGACATTGATACTTATATTGCGGTTATTCGTAATTCAAACTATGCTATTATATACCGCCTTGGCGGTTATCTTTTCTCTGCGAAGCAGTATCGGTAACGAAGTTGCAGGGAAATTATCGACTGTACCGTCGTAATTAGCGGAGAAGAGAACCTCTTAAGTTCGTGTCTCCTCGGTGCACGTGCTAAAGATCAAACGATTTCACAATGTGTCAAAGAATGTCGCTTGCTGATCGGTGTGTTTTTTGAAACGTCGTGGACAGGTGTTATTTTACTCGAAATGTCCTAGACGCCTCGCAAGTAAGTCTTACGTTTTCCAAAGTGGTAGCTCAATTGGTTTTGTACACGCACTTTGATCTCGTTAATAATCGCTAACTATATATGTTTACAGCAAGTAAACAAACCTATTGTAACGGTATATATTGCTGGATTCGAGATTACCCGTTTCACGCAAGTACTGTGCAAGTAAAACAGTTTATTTTTGAAGCAACGAGTAGAGTGTAAAAATCGCAATATCAAGGCATGATGAATTCTTGCTCGAAGAAGAATAAAGAGGTACTGGCAGAAGTACTCGATCTGTTCCTTTTGCCGGATTACAACGTTGTCTCGTCCACTTACTTGGATCATTTGCTGGGCCATATCGCGGAGAACACGAAAGATTGTGAGAAAAGGATATTTTTTAAAGATATTCAGCTTTAATATTTCACTGTAGACATATATGCACGCACGTCTTGTAACCTTATTCTGCAGGTGCTGCAATCGATTATGAGTACTGCGAGGTTTTTCAGAAGTGGATACCAAAGGCTTTGGCAATATGGGAGTCTGGACAAGTGGCTTCGCAGCCGGTGATCACATTCACATTGAAGCTTGTAGGGGTTATCTCCAAATATGAGCTTCGTTATCACTACTGGCAGTGCCAGGATGTGTACAACAGACTCTGCATAACTTTAGACTTAAACAGAGAGGACTTGCCTGCGTCCATTAAAATGGCATACACAACAATGCTGTCGGATTTAATTGTTCACCGAAGTGGCAGGCAATGGGTGATACAGTCTGGTGAGGACTTAGCAAAATTGCCGTAATTTATATCGATTGTTCCTTGTTAATAATATTAAATTATAATATCAAAGAATAGTGCACGTTCAAAATGATAAAAGCATGCCACTCGTATTTCTGCGTTAATTTCCCTATTTGTATTTAAACGCAACAGGTGCATGGAAGAATATTGTAAATTGCGCTCATTGGAATCATACGATGTACGTCACAAGGGAGAGCCAGAAGTTTCTGTGGACGTTGCTCTTGTACGAAAATAAGAACGTCGAAGCTTGCAAAGAGATTATCCTAGCCATTGCCGCGCCGCTCATGAGGAATTCGTTGGATTCGGAGGTGCACGAGGTGCTGGAGGAAACGTACTTTGAGCAGAACAAGCTGCTGTGCTCCACACTGGACATGTTGACCAACATTTTGGAGAACACGCTGTTTGTAAATCTGGACAACAGCATTCCCGAGTTGCTCGAGGAACTTATCAACCTCGACAAGAGGGTGAAGGCACTGTTCGAAGCTTGCATCAGCACCAGGTTCCTTCATCATGTGCACAAGCTGCTGTTGCTATCATTGTTCCTGAAGCTGAGGCAGGGTGTCAAGAAAAACACCGAGGTGATCGACCTTGACATCTGGCAAAAGTTCCGCAACGGCATATGCTACAGTTCTATGATGCTACTGTCGAAAAAGCAAATCGTCGAACTGGTCAAGACTTACAAGTTAGCTATGGTGTATTGGAAGAAGTTGCGCTGCTTACAGCAATTTTCCACGCCGGAGCCGTACAAATTTGAACATCAGGCGATTGCTTTAATGGTAAATCGGTCGTTTACACGTCGCCTGTACTCCATCACGTGTATCTCGAACGACGAATGAAGGTATAATTATTCCTATTTGTTGACAGATATTACCGTTGTGCGTATGCATAAAGAAGAATCACATAAATCACGACTTCTTGGATATGTTCCTCAGCAAGATCTTCGAGGTAACGTGCACCACCGTGCAGAGACTTGCTTACCATATAAGAGACATCATACGGAACGAGGATCTCCCCATGGAACAAATTTGTAAAGTGTCTATCGATCTGCTGCTTGAAATATTAGATGTGATGGATAGAGTGAGTACATGTATCAGAACCAGACGAACATGTTATGAACATAAAATATAGATTAAAGATGAATCGATTGTAAAATCAAAACTATTGTTACACACAATTTGTTTATAATTACATGATTATTTCGATTGATCTTGAAAGTTGATAAAATTTTACTTATTCGAGATGTACTTTACACTTTTTCCAGGACGTAGTGGTGATCACTTTTCAAGCCTTGTGTCATGTCCTGAAGAGTTACATGCCGGATATATGTGAGGAGACGAAGAATCGCGCGTCGTCAGAAGCGAACTGCACATTCACGCCGGAACATCCACGAAAGCTCGTATACAAATCGATTTTAAAAAGCGATCCCATAGTCGATAATCCTATACTGCTGGCATCACTGTTAGACGGTTTAGCCGTCATGACGGAGAAGTTTAAACTGAAGTGGCAGGAATGCGTGGAAACGATATGCGTGTTATCCCTCGCGCAAGAAATCCTGAAACACCCCGGGATACTGCCGATGGTAAGCCGTCGATAAATCTCGCAAACTATTTGCTTCTCGCCATAGCCATGGTATCAAACAAACCCTCGAATTCTACGTAGATATGCGTGAAGGCGTTGAAGCTGTGCGAACTTGCCATCCATAACTTTATGCCGCCCAACTTGGCGTTGCTCGTGGACTCGGACAGCCACATGAACGAGATTGGGCCTACGCTCTTCAAGAGGTTACATGATCCCAACTGGGAAGTGAGAGACAGCGTTCTCGAGGTGCTCAACACTATCGCAACGATTTCCGAAGACAGTAAGCGAAGATGGCTTGGAATTATTGACTGTACAACGAAATTAAGGCCACTAACTCACGTCCCCTTCGAAATCCTATAACTTTTACCTAAAACATTTTTTTTGCACGAGATATGGGAAATAACATATTTAAGTGGAGACATTAAAATGATCCAACCTGTATATGTAGTGACATAGTATAATTATTTCCAAATGTCGTCATTAACGCGAATAATAGATTTTGTTGCACGTCAATCGTCCCTTTCTTTTCGCAGAGTACCCGGCGTATCAAGGCTTCCTGGTGGTTAACCGATTTCCGGAGGTGGCGGTCGAGATGGCCAAAACGGATGCTGAGAGTTACGTGCGAGCGTCAGCGTTGACGTTCATCGCGAGCACCGTTCGTATCGGCAAGCTGTGGGAGCAGCAGCTGTCGCGGATGAATTTAACCGTGTGTATATATATATATTTACGCATTACTCATTCATCTTCCGGGTACCGGTGGCAAAAAGTACAGACGGACGGTTATGCGAATCGATGGTTTTATAGGAAATGGCGATTTATTTACTTGAGAACGAGAGCGAAGCGGTAGTAAGGAGGGAGGCAGTGAATTTAATAAAGGAACTGTACGTTCATCGGAAATGGCCGTACGTGGAATTCTTGTTTGTAGTCTGGTAATGGTCACAACGGCTCACTGCTAATTGATGTCGATTGATTCGCAGAAAGGAAGTTATCGATTCGATGTTGCGAGCCATGTCTGTGGCGGCTGTGTTCGACTTGCACTGGGAAGTGAAGACGAACGCGTTGACTTTCTGGGACCACTTCGTCAAGTCGCATCTGACGGATCAGGGGATGCTCGACGACTCCTTCCCGAACGTGACGTTCTCAAAAGAGCACAGAAAGATCGTGTCGTTGAACGAGGCGGAAATCAAGCGGAGACTGAATAAAGCGCTCGACGAACTGGCGAGGCAACGTTGTCTAGGCGTAAGTAAATCACCGTGATTTGGAAAATTGTTAATCTTAAATTCTTAACTTTGTGTCTAGAGAGACTTTCAAGATGTATGCAAGATATATAGAATATGAAATGAGCAGAGATAATTCCGCCAATTTGCGAGAGGTTCATTTTCAACTTCTAGGTGCTTCTGGTCGCTCTGAAGGACGACAGTGATTTCGAAGTGTGCAAAGCATCCGCAGCGATAATCGGCAAATTGAAGTCCTGCTTGCTCAAGTACAAGTTGGACGAACCGTCGCCGGCGGAGACGCTTCCGGAGAACAGTGCGATATACGACACCGCCTACGTCAAGGTGACACCGTCGATATCCTCGCTTGTCAGCGAAGACACGTCTAACGCCTCACACATCATCGATGAGATTGTCGACGCAAATGACGCCAATTTGCTGGCGATGATTTACAAGAGCTCCTTGAACATGGACGGCGAGGCGACGACGATGGGAGAAAAGAAGGACGGGGAGAACGAAGAGAGGGAGAGGAAGAAGAAGAAGATGCTCCGTTACATCCCGTCCGTGACGCGCCAAGACTTCCTTCGCGCAATCTTCAATTCCGACATCGAGGCTTACGTCGAGGAGAGGAACCGTTGGCTGAAAACGTACACCAACAGCTTCGAGTCGGTCCTCGACGATATTCTGATGATGTACAAGAAGAAAGACGTCAATTCGATGGACTGCTACTGAAAACAAGCGACCGGAATCCTCCCACAGGCGTGCCTTAAGCGACTTCGCATCCTACTTGACGCATTATTTGCATTTCCCTTTTATCGAGATCGTCGAACTACCGGATGTTGTTAATATAGTCACAAATTATATTACACACTTTAGTACTTATTATTCTTATATTTCGTATAAATATCGGAGTTATCGTATCAAACGTATATTTCTCGAGCTTAATCAAACCTTTGTAAATTTAGCATGAAGTATATATATGTATATAATGCGGAATACTGCCTTCGATCGATGATTGTTCTCACGATGCGACGATCAAATATTTTCAAGTTGTACGAATCCCCCTGAAACCTTTATCCATTAGCTGCTTGCATAATTTTTAAGTTTCGGGGAGAAACTATTTTTTCTCCATTTTTCCATAAATTTTTTAGTTTCTTCTATATAGGAAAAAAATGTGGCAGGTTTTAATTGATCACACGTGAATTTTTCTAAGTGGATACCTTTAAGACACCGAAGAAATTATTGGAAAAATAGGGAAAAAGCAGAGTTTTCCGAAATTTTTAAAACAATTTTACTATGTATATATTTTACGTGGAAATCATAAAAGTGATACCAGTTTATCAATTTGATTACAAACAGAGAAAGATATTGAAATCTCTGACGGAAAACAAACGGTGAGAATAAGGCTTCAAAGACACAATACTTGAGGGTAGAGTGGCATTTAATTGACCAATCATGATAAAGAAATCTTGATTCTTCTTGTCCTAATTGGCCAATTAAATGTCACTCTACTCTCAATATGATGTTTCCGGGCACAGCTTAAAAGGCTGACTAGACCCATTTTGATTTCATCCTCCCGCAAATATTTCAAATTTCGTGCTAACACACCCAGCGACAGATCCAATCGCGAGTCTCAGCGCCCTCTCGCAACGCGAAGGCAGCGCGCGGTCGATCGCAGGCGCATGCGCGCGCTCGCTTTTTCAAACGCCAGCCGTTCGCGGCGCGCGCGCGCCAGTGGCGCGCGAACCTTCGCAACGGACGGGTCGGTTTGAGTGAGTGAAGTTGACGGGAGACGTCGAGTGATCAGATCGCTGGGTGAAGTTGTCGGGCAATCGACACGACGATCGATCTTCGTGCCTCCGCGCGACGACGACGCAACCGACGATGTCGTTCTACTTCCGCGATGCGCCGAGATTCGCGGATCGTCTGCGCGGCAAGTCTGGCGACGAGCTGCTGCAGGAGATCAAGCAGCGTTTCAACGAGGACAACGACTTCTTCGAACCCGCCGGCAGAAACTCCAGGGACCCTTTCGAGCGACAACACGCTTCCGCCTTCTCGAGAGTGAGTAACTTATTCACGATCGTGCACGTACGAGCGCACATTCTCGCTCTCTTTCGCTCTCTCTTTCTATCTCCCGCTTTTGCTCTCTCCTTCGCTCTGTCCATTCCGCGTGCGTGTTCGGAATTTGATCATGTTTGAATAATACCTGCGAATACCGACGCGCTTTCTCATCGACCTTTATTTTCGCCCACCCACCTCGATCGATCTGGGATCGATCGGAAGTCGCAAGTACTCGCCTCCGAATCGAATGTCCGCCAACATTTTCGGCAACGTTTGCCAATCTGACGACGTTCGAATTTGCGACGAGTACGCATTTTGCGTTATCGTGTCGCGCACGGTTGAACAATATGTACACCATAGGCGTTAACGATAGGTAGAGTCTCTGCGTCAACGTTCGTCGGTGTAAACGCGAGATAGAGATAGAGAAGGAGAGGGAGAGAGAGAGAGAGAGATAAGAAACATATTAATTTAAATACAGACATCAGTGTTTTGATAAACACCGACGTAGACGTTGGGCGAGCATTGTTGATTTGTCGACCTCTAATAGCGCGCGAAATTTAAATTCAAGACGGATCGGCGCCGAAGCAGCCGTCGTGTCTCGCGCTCATTGTACCGAATTTCTTTATATTTATAGAGCCGTCCTAATTCTCTTTCTCTCTCTCGTTCTCGCTCTTCCGTCGAACTAATCGGCGTCGGCGACGACGAAGTTTTACCGCCGAGTGGACTCGCTTTTTTCCGTTTTGCCCGGTTATTCTTATCATCGCGATATTTTCAGATCGTAAAACAACGAGAAAGAAAGAGAGAGAGAGAGAGAGAGATTCACGAAGTGCCGAGCCCGATGTTTTCGCGAGAGGACATCCACGCGCATTCGATCTCTCTCGAACAGGCGCGAATGTCGAAATTGTATGGCAGTCTTTATTTTATTATCTAATTAGAACACGATCTTTAATTAGAACATGATCACCAAACAAATTATATAAATATGTTATTATTAATGTAGCGAAACATCGATTATATGTACTAACGATGACAGACATCTATTAATTTTAATATTCTAATAAAGATTGTTATTGTTGATTGTTATTAATGTCAATTTCAGAAATAAAAGAAGTGACACTAAATAAGCTCAATTCCCGATCGACCTGATACATGGTCGTGTAGAAAAGAGAACGAGCGAGGCATTTCGATCGTCCCGGTATTACGGGGCGAATATTGCCGCGTCTTGACGGGGATGAACCTCGTCGGTCGTTTCACACGCAGCGCTTTCTCGTCTCGTAACTGCAATATCCTGCGAATCTATCGGGCTTTTATCGCGGCGCATCGCTCGCCGTGAGCAGCTCTGAAAAGCCTGCGAAATAGCGTCGGGCTCTGAGCAGACCCTTCCGAGAACGAGTCCCGATGATATATTAAGGGTAGCCGCCCTTATCGATCTCGGCTTGCCCTGAGAAACGGCACATTTCCCGACCCTTCTGCGCGCCCTGCCCTCGAGATCCCTTCTAATAAACGAGCGACGCGTTTGATAGGAATCCCGCACGAGCCGGTCGGCCGCTCGTGCGCGATTCCGACGCAACTGCGTGCCGCTCGAGGATTGTTTATCTAATTGGAGCGCTCCGAAAATACGAAAGTGTAGAGAATTCGCCGATCCGAAATCGCGCAATGCGATTTTCAACATGGAGATACGTCGTCGTCGACCAGGCACTCTTCGCATATACACCAAGAAAAAAAGTGTATGAAACTTTGTCCAAAAAAGTCGTAAGGCGAAATGGATTTGATAAGAATTCGATGTAACTTGCACGAGGTGTACGTTAGAATATTATTTGACTGTTTATGTAATTAGAAAAAAATTGACCGTTCGAGAACTGAGATATTTGTAACTAATGTTGACACTTTTTTTATACGTATTTTTTGAGATTAGCGTGCTATTTCCAATTTGTACTTTTGATATCTTCTAAACTAAAAAGTTTTCGACGAAAATTTTACTGTGACATTAAAGACTAATATACAGATATTATATATACATTTTAGAATTATTGACCGTTTTGTTTGGAAAATACGACAGTGCAATGTTCAGCCTGTTGGAAGAATTACGCGGTCGCTATAATGACTTATCAATTGATTCGCGACGATCGCGACTTGGTCAGCAACTGTATCAACGTATCGTTGCGCCAACATGTTATATGTTCAATAGACGCGATATTTTTTATCGACCGTCAATTTTGACGATCTGACCACTTTCTTTTTCGGCGTAGAGAGTTGTGACAATTTCTCAACGCCTCGTCATCGGCTTCTCGCGAGACGACACGGCGGCGCTTTCGCTCGCTTCGTGCCGCTTCGCGTAACGCACCGCAGTTCACCGGAGTTCAATCGCGAACGCAGTAATTCCCGATCGTCCCAATCGGGACGACCTCGTCGTCGACTCGGGCTCTTTGTTCGTCGAACGGAAGGAAGCGTTTTCCCCGACTATCGTGAGAAAAGCAAAGACGGACTTCCGAGCGAGATAGCGGACTATGCGTATCGCGCCGCTTGATATCTCGAGTCTTCCCTGCTTGCGATAAATTCGCCTGAGAACGATCAGGCGAAAGAAAGCACTCGAACCCGGCGGACTCGAGGATCGATAACGATTCCGGGAAACGATTATCGTGGCAGATAATGCCGCGCTATATGTTCTGCGAGCGCGCTCGCGCGCCTTCGTCTACCGCGAAGTATGTTAATTGGCGCGCCGACAATGCGGAACAGGTGATTCGGTTATGTATAGCGGCCGATAGATGCAGGAGAGAAGAAGGGAAAAGGTTCTCTCGATTACGTAAAGCGAACTGCCGAATGGAGCGCGCCGGACGGCTCTTTTCGACTTCCTTCGTCCTTAATCGTCGGCGAGAAGGAAGGACACCACGACGTTTATTTACGACGCAATCGAGAGAGAAGCCGCTTATTTACGCGTGAAAAAATAATTCGCGCCAGCACAAGGAACGAATCCTCTCTCTCTCCTTTTTTTCCTCCTGAGGTACGGAGTTCTCCGTGAGAACCGACTGCGGAAATTGAGAATAAGACCGCCGTGGGATCTCGTCGGGACTAAGAACGGTGTGCTGCGAATCTACGCACGGTCGTGTACACGGTTGGCAGTGCGTTAGCGTTATTTATACACATTTAACGTATTAAAGTTGCCTTCGTCTGTTGCACAACAGCGCTTGCGTAACAAAAGAGCGCGATTGTGTATCCGCGTGCGATCCTCCTCCCTTTAGCGATCTCCGATTCGATTTCCGACATGATTATGGGGCCACAACGGAAGCACGTGGAAACGGGTTAACGCGAGTTCGACTCGGGAGAGACCGGGATAGATGGCGAGCGAGAGAATGTGTCTCTTAAAACGACCCTTCGCATGCGACGTCGCGTGCATAAGCGAAAGTAATTTGCAGATCGATGAAAAAGTTACACGTCAAGGGTCAAGAGCATTCGCTTTTTTCCCCTCCCATAAATGATACATGCAGTTTTTACTCATAATGCGACAGCCGCTGTCGAGACGACGAGTTTAAGTGACATATCGCAGAGATTATCAGCTAAGCTTGATAAAAGCGGGAAAGATATTAATTCGATTAATCTCTGTAGTATTAATTTTATCGAGTTTTATTAATTTTACTAATTATTTTACTATACCAATGTTTATTATATTATATTAATCTTATTACTATAACTTTATTAATTTATTTATATGCGAAATTTTCAGTATATACCGTGTGTCATCTAAAATTGTCATCTAAAATAACTTACATCTATTTAAGTCTGTTCTATTCGAAAATTAGATTAGAATTTATACGATTCAAGATAAAAAAACGGTTTATATTATTTTATAATAAATCACAAACACCAAACACACGCACGCATTTGGCAATAACACTCCGCGTAAATTCGAGGAAGAGGGAGATAGCGAACAGCGAGACAAGAAATAATTCAGTCGTCATTAATGGGTTAAGGAAATTTCACGCTGCGCGTCGCCTGCGTCGAGAACGCCGCATGAATGAGCCTTTCGCCGGTGGGCTGCGCTCGCGGCCGTCGCTCGCGCGCGAGACCTCCTCGTGCCTCGTGCTCTCCTGGCAGCGCTATCGATCACCGTAGATCATCGATCGTCATTATCGATGATCCTGAGAACGATCGAGAGGCGCGCACGCGCGACGCGCCGCGATCTTCGAGAACGACTCGCGCTCCAGTTCGGGAGTCCATAAAGCCGTTCGTTATTGTTGACATCATGCGCGTCCCGCGTCTCATTTTCCCGTCGATTAATCGTACGCGCTAAAAGCTGCCGTACCGTAACTCCATTTACGGTTACCGGCCGAACGTTCTTTCTGCATGCGCGCGAGTCATTTTCGCCGAATTCATTATCTCGCGCGCATAACTCGACAATTCTCTCATCGCTGAATCTCGCTACCTTTGTTTTTATCTCCTTAACTCGAGATAGTCATCTGGGGTCATTTCAGACCCCAGTGGTCAAAAAATTTGGCTGAACGCCGCAATACAGATTTTTTTACTAATCAGGAACCCATACCTACCTTTCATTTGGACATTCAGAGACTTAATCTGTGCAACAGGAACTGACTGTGTATTGTTTTATTCATAATATAAGCCTGTAAAAATACGTTGGGGTACAAAACGACCCCAGGTGATCGTTCATGTTCAAAAAATTAGCCGAGCATGGTAAAAGTTCGTGTTATAAATACAAGGCAATGATAAGTTTGAATGAGGTTATGTATACCCACACCCAATAAACACCAAGCAATATTTATATTATTACATCTGATACTGACTGATAAAAAATGTTCAGAAAAGTAGGCAGACGTGCAATTATTAAATATTTAATATTTATTATTTACAATTAACACATAGTTAACATTAATATTTATTATAAGTAAAATGAATAGTTTAAACTACATTTTTTATTTAATGTTAAACATAAAAACATCTATATTTTTTAAAATTTATTATTTTTTTGTTTGAAAATATTTGCATGTCATACATTCATATAATATAATGAAAAAATATAAAAGTAAGTCATTTTTATTTACATATATAATAAAACAGCGTTTTTTAGTTGATATCTTTATTCGTTAGAAATACTGCCATAATAAAATGCTCGATATGCTTATTTCGCTTTTTAAATATTTTTTTGTTTTCTCTCCATTTTTTACAAAAGTGGCGAATAAACCTGTATATACAATGCCCTAAATAATAATAAATTAAATAACAATAAAAATTAATAATAATAATAAATAAATTAACTTACCTACAATGTACCTACAATGCTCCCCAAATGACAATAAATCACAGAGCGGTCGACGGTATGCTACATTTTGTTAATAATAGTGATTTTTAATCGGGGCCTAAAATGATCCCAGGTGTTCGTTCACGTGAAAAAAAAAGAAAGATGACTATTGCCGGGTTGAACACGCGCGTGTTTTTCTCTCCTTCCAGAATGTATCGACACATGCATATCGAAATGTACATTCAATCGATGCTCTCGACGTATCGTTCGTTCGAACGTGCGCTATCAGGCGCCCCGATGAGCCTATAAAGTAACACCGTTCCCCTAAAAATACCGGTTACAAGTCGTGTTGCGTGTTGAAAACAAGCTTCCATATCGTCCGTTCTGCGCGACGAACTCTCGACGGTTCCCGACGACTCCGCGTGTTCGAGGTTATAAGCGAGAAGCTTCTGGTAAGTTCTCGCATGCTCTCGGCCGCCGCTACCGCCCGCGCGCTCTCTCGGCGACGGTCACGTGGTTGCGCGCGGCACGGCGCGCGACCCACGCGCAATCGCATTTAAGTTGCTTCCGCGACCCGCGCTATTGTCAGTCCCGCTGTCACCTGCGCTCGCGACGGTTCCGTGCCCGCTCGAGTACGCGCAAGCACGTTTTTCCCCTTCACCGAGGCGACCTTGAAAAGTACCTGACGGAGTGAGCGAGAGAAAAAGAAAAAGATATATAGAGAGGACACAAGAGAGAGAGAGAGAGAGAAAGAGAGAGAAACAAAAGCACACAGGAGCTCTTTTATAGTGGCGGCACTTATGTAATCGCGACGGAGGTAGAGGAGGATACGAGGAAAAGCCGTGGTGAGAACTACGTGTGAGTGTCTCAGCATCTATTGCGAGAGAGCGAGAGAGTGAGCGAACGAGCGAAAGAGAGAGAGAGAGAGTGAGAGCGAGAGAGATCGCGAGAATCTGACGGAGATTTCCAGAAAGAATTTCACGTGAAAAGCGCGAGATTGTTCGGCGCTTTTGAATCGCGCTCCGGAGCCCCGCGTGCTCGATTATATATATATTAAGCGGGTGCTCGAAAGTCTCGGAGGAAATATTTCGATACGCAGAGAGAAAGAGAGAGAGAGAGAGAGAGAGATTGAGTGAGCGAGCGGGAGAGAGAGAGAGAGAGAGAGTTTCACGTATCCAAAAACGGACGCGGGCCAACGGGTCCAGAAAATGGACTCGCCTGTCATCGTGGACGCAGCATCCAAATTCGGACGAGGGATCGATCTGGACCGCGCGTTCCCCGTAAGTGACGTACCTTTTTCTTTTCTTTTCTCTCTCTCTCTCTCTCCGCTTCCTACCCTCCCCCTCCCCGGAGGGGCCGTAAAATGCGCGTGGGACGGTGTCGGTTTCAGAGAAACGCCCGCTCTCGTCGTGTCGCGAACCGTCGACGAATTGTAAACCTCGCGCCTCGAGTTCAAACGTCGTCGTGCGCGACGACTGGTGTTCTCAGCTGAACGCCGATGGTGCCAGTTCGAAGGGAAATTTACCCACGCCAAAGCTTTAGAGGAGAATTCACACCTTGACGGAAAAGCAGAAGCTAATTCGTGAATTCGCGCAACTGGTAGTCGACAGTTTTTGCTTTATATACTACTTACTACCAGCGCATGTTCTGATTGGCTTCTGCTTTTCTGCTTTCTGTTAACGTGTGAATTCATCCGGAGAATTCCGCACTTCCTGTATCCTGGCTAGCACGGTTAATTTCGGTAGTATTTTTACGTTCTTCAAACGTCTGTAATACGATTGTGAAACGTTACATATGTTTAAGAAAAAAAAAAAACATATTTGAAACTAACCTGTGCTACCTGGCTGCGCTTCAACGTGCACGTAAATTTCTCGAACTTCTGGTGCAGAGCCAGTTCAACTGAAAAGCGCAAGCCGAACGTTATACACTTCTCCGTATTCAGGAATCATTCCGCTTCGTTCTAAAAAAAATTAACACACGAAATAAAAAGTAACATGTCACAAGTGTGACACGAGAGACTCACTGCCAGCGAGTCTCATTTATGCGGAAGCGCCGAGAGGTCAGACGCGAGTCCCTTCCTTGCGGAAAGCTTGTTCCATTTGCGGACGATTACGTTGCTCGCCAACGACGACGTTTCGCGGGTACGCGCCTCGCGTAGACGTTCTACGTCACCGATTACGCCGCGCGCGGTTCAGACCTCGCGACGCACCGCTTAAGTCCCGATCAAACGAGATCGATATGGCATCTCTCTGTTTCTCTCTCTCTCTCTCTCTCTCTTTCTCTTCCAACGAAGACATAGACCAGACCTTAACGCGATCGGCGTGAATCGTTCCCATACGTTCCGCTCTTTATTCGCCATGCTCTCACAACTCTACAACTCGTCTCCCCGCCGATACATGCCGCTCTATTCACCTTCTCCTCCTCCTTCTCCGCGCATTCCGCATCGGCGGGGGGGGGGGGGGGGNGGGGGATCGGCGTGGAAATCAGAAATAGCATTTGCGTGGAACGAACGCGCGCGCGTATTTTTGCGGTCGCGCGTCGCGAGCGGACGAGCGCCGATTCGAGAAAATCGGAACGAAATTCTCAAGGATTTCGCGGGGTGAATTTCGTCCGGGATGGACACACGGGCCTAAAACGGGACCCGGTTATTTGCGGGGAGGAGCGCTGAGAGAGAATCGACTCGGTTATCGATCGGTTATCACGTGGATTACGTGACCGTCAAACGCGCCGCCGCGCTGGCAGTGACGTCACGAACGCATTTAGGCGCTTCGGAAGCGCCATTATTGCATGATCGATAATATACACTAACATGTTACGTCGAAAGGCGCGGCACCGCGAATCCGCGTGACGTCACGACATCGAGGCACGTTATCAAATGCCGCGCGCGAAGGTGTGCTCTCTCGATGGACGTCGCCCTGCGGTGTAAAGTTCCCGACCCGCAAGGACGATCACGGAGATTTCTTGATTTATATATGACGATGCCAATCGCTAATAAATATCACAGAGGAGGAGCGATTCTGCGAAGAAGCGCGCGGTAAAGATCCAAGTTGCGATTGCTGCGGCTTCGGTTCGTCTCGTGATTTCATGCGTCTTGGATGTAATCCGGACGTATCGCATCAGTTTGTTATTGTTGTCGTTTATTTGTTGTTGTTGTCGTGGACATTTTGTAGCCACGCTTTGAAACTAAAGTAGTTGTATCGTAGAGTGCCTGATTTTCAGTAAAAAACAAATATTTTCCTTCAACTTTATTTAACTATCTAAGTAACAAATGTTAATCTGGAGCGAAATTAAGAGATATGTATATACACAATTACAAACATAGAGATATTATTTATTTTTAGTTTTCTTATTAATGCTTTTTTTATACGTCAGTTGAGCTAATAAAAGTGTACACGTAATAGGAAGTATAAATATTATAAATAATAAATAAATAATATAAAGGAATATATAAATATTTAAATATACATATATATGTATATATATCGCGGGTGTTACTATTAAATTGTAAATTCTCTATGGCTATATTTAAAAAAAAATGGTCAATGATTCTGAGATTTTTGTACAATGTCTCTGTATCAGTTTTTAATATCGTACTTTATTATTAAAATCCCAAATGTGATTTAGAAGAAATTAAAATTAGAAATTAAAATTAGAAATTAAAAATAGACATTAACCTCAATAAACACATAAAAAGTCATTCTCAGTTGCAAATATATCAGCTGCCAAATAGCCAATCTACTTATAATGGCGCCAGTAATTAAGTCATATTTAAGTTTACGTATAGTGTAAATTTCCGCGAATTCTTAAACTCATTTTATGCCATAATCATTTTAAGAAGTCGACAAATATCGTTGAAAAGTGCGGAACAACGTTACAGGTAGAATCTCGCGGGTACTCTGTACGCAGTATTAGCGCGCAACAACGTCTTCAATACGTCGCAATGACGTTTCTCAGCTCGTTCTGGAACGCGCGACGGACGTCGTTCGCGTGCAGGCGTGGGTGTATTTGCGCGTGCTCCAACGAGGTGGAGAGGGAGAAAGAGAGAGAGAGAGAGAGAGAGAAGCAGAGAAGAAAGACGAGAACGGCCGATAGTTTCCCCGTATGAAATCATCCGGTGGAAATAAAAGAAATCTTTCAAAAATTCGGACTCATCGCTCGGAGCGTCGGGCACTCAGCCATCGCATTTCACGAACGAATCGCGCATGCAAATGTCTTAATTACGTAAACAGTAAACACTCGCTCATAAGTTGCGCGTATGACCAGCCATAAAAAGTTTGCAACACTTTTCTACATGTTTAGGAACGCATCCCCCGTCCGATGGAAGAATTTTATTTTTTTTTGCAGATTTTTTCGGTTTCTTTCGCGGGAAATAATTGAAAAAAAAACCGGGCTTTTAAAACTAGACAAGAGATATATTTTCTGTTGAACACGGGATGCGTTGCGAAACTCATTAAAAAAAAATGTAACTTTTTATGATTGACCATACATAGAAAAAAATTATTTTTAAATCAAGAATAGATATTTTCATCGATAAGCACAAATATTATAATCTTCTTAGAAGATTTTTAATTTTTATTTGATTGAATTTGTATTGATGCAAATATTACTTGAACTCAATTCAAGACTAAAAATCTTCAAGTATCTAGTTCTAATACTATAATATTCTTGCTTATATATGAGAATTTTTACCATTAATTTATAAAACTATTTTTCTATGTGCAATTATACGTTTAATTGTCGCCAGAAGTCCGGCGTATTTGTCGAGATAAATTTTACAAATCGGAATCACCGTCATCGTCGACGCCAATTAGGCTTTTTTCTTCATTTCGAAAGAGACTGCTCTATTTCCATTGAAAAAAATGTTCCCGAGAACTCGTTAATTTAACTGTCAAAAGCGAACTCCATCAACGTCGGGAACGTCCGCTCTAATTTAACGTATCACAAATGGAACCGCTGGTAATTCCCGATCGTGCTTTTGTGCGATTCGCACCTGGAGAATTATCCGCGCCGGTCGATCACCGCGGACAATCGACACGACGTACGCCGTGTCTCGCCACGGTTGGTCGCGCGATCGTTCGTCGATCGGGCTCATCGGCGGCGGTGGCAAGTAACGGCCGATTAAAATCTAAAAATTGTTCGTGTGCACGCCCGACGCGCGAAGTCGCGTCATTTTCGCGTCGTTGACAGGCAAAAGTCGCGGCAACGCAGTGAATTCGCGTGCCAGCAACCGGCAACGTCGTGCCGAAAATAGGAAAATCCGATTATCGGGCGTAGGTGCGTGCAGGCGCTCTACTCTCGTTCTCCCTCACCCTCCAATTTAATCTCCCCTCCCTCTCTCTCTTTTCTCTGCCTTCGCTACGTTCACCCCTCCCGCTTCCCTTCCTTTTTTTATCAATTTCCTGACCGTGCGGAGCGTGTATAATTTCACGTCATTCATCGGTACACACTTACAATGCGCGATCTTTCACCGGGTGCACTCGAGGGACTTGATCGCGGCGTAACGTGATAAATTACCTCTCCTTCTTTCTTCTCGTTGGTCTCTTTCCTTTTCTCTCTTTCATTCCTCGCGCGTCGACTTTCTTGCAAAGCCACCGCCGCCGCTAAGTGGAACGACGCGTGACCTCGATTCGCCGGAGGATTCGTCACCTCGTGCTCGATTACGCGAATTTCCTCGGCGCCCTTGCAGCGCAGGTCGATCGGCGCCGATGCGATTTGAACGTACGTAGAAGACTTCATTATCAATGCTGTTCAATCCCCTAGGCATAGTGACATCGAACTTTTCCAATCGGGAGCATCGTGCGCGAATATTTGCGCATCATGACTGTTTATAATTTGATCAATCGGCAACGATCATCCTGCAAAACAGCAATCATGATGCCCAAATATTCAGAAATAAATCGCCTAGTCAGAAATTTTCAATGTTACTATGTCTGGGGAAATGGGACGGCATTAACGGAGTCTTCTGTACAGTACCGTGTATTGATGCTGTCCCATTTCCTAGGCATAGTAATGTTGGAAATTCCAGATCATCATTGCCGAATATTCGTGCCGGCTGATTATTCCGCGAATAAACCAGCAACGATGCTTCAAAGCAGCAGTTGTGATGTCCGAATATTCAGAAATACGCGAAACACGCCTAATTCGAAATTTTCGATATCACTGCGTTGCGGGAACGGCAGCATTAATGCGTAGCACTGTACATCACGCGCGCAAGGCGACGCGCGGCTTCTGCGATTATAAAGGGTATCCCGAGACTTAACGACCGAGCTGTGCCAAGACTCGTTTCTCTACGAAGTAGAAACTAGAGAAAAAGAGAGAGAGGGGGGAAGGGAGGCGGGAGATGTTACGTAAACACGATTCCAGAAATGCACGAATGCAGGGTGCTTCGTAACGAGAAACGAGATATGAGTCGGAAATTTTTCGTATCCGTTATGAAACACTGTGCACGTCGGCGTAGGTGACTAGATAATTGGCTGATCGGTTGACTGGCAAGGTCAAAACTGCGGCGGATGATTTGAGATTAGCGTCCGATGTGAGCTTTTCAGCAGAATCACGATTACAAATGTACGTCGTACGATGTATTGTCGTGCGATTCAAGTAAAAAAAACTCGTATCTAACTCTAAATCTATCTAATTCAAACCCGAGTGTCTCGAGACGTGTTTTAAGCAATTATTTAACTAACACGGGCCTGAGGCAGTAAGACGTCCAAGAGACGCCTTTAAGGCCTGTATTAATAGTCCTTACTTGAAGTCTTGCCTCATGCGAGATATTCGGATTTAAATTTAGAGTTTGATCCGTGAGTTTTTCAGTCGAATCGTGTGTGATATATATGATATTATGTCTGTAATCGCAATTCAATCGAAAAATTCACATCTAATTCTGAATTCAAATGTGAGTATCTCACATGAGCCAAGTTTCAAGTAATGATTATTAAGATGGTTGTAGAATGCCGGATTTTCAGTGGCGATATTAAAGGAGCTATCTACATAAGTTTATTATTTACTGAAAAAGAAAGACTTCTGTAACTTTATTTATATGTCTAAATAATAAATATTAATTTTGAGCGAAATTAAGAGAATTATACACGCAATGCCACAAACACGCAGATATTATTTATTTCTTATTTTTCTTATTAATGCCTTATTCATATGTCAATTGAATAGAAGTGCACACATAAATACGTGAATATGTTCATATATTATTACAAATTATAAATTTCTTATGGCTATATTTTCAAAACAAAATGGTCGGCAATTTTTAAACTTTTATATTATGTCTCTATCCTTGATCCTATCCTTAATACTTGATATCACGGCAATCTATAATTAAAATCCTAAATATGATTAAGAAAAAATTGGAAATAGGACGTTAACTTTAAGGAATAACCTCAAAATATAAAAAAATGTCATCCTTAGTTGCGAGAATATATCTCAGCTTCCGAATGATCAATCCTTTTCTTTTGCGCTAATAATTACGTCCTGTTCAAATTTATATCCAGGGTTTGTTCCAGCAACAGGAAAACGCATAAATCTGTATCTTGGATCCCTAAATATGGGAGTCTTATAAAATAACCTTCCACGGTGTTCCTTCTTCGAAGCCATTCGAACTATGTTCCAAATATTTCTCATATCACTAAAAATAAAGGAGATATTATCTGTTCTCTTTACGTTGGGACACCCTATATAGAAGAAATTTGAACGAATTCTGAAGAAATTCATTTGATGCTACAACTATCTTAGTGCGGGTCTTCCGATTGGACACGCGTATTGCGTAGAAACTTGGCGGAATATCGTGTTGAAAATCGCGAGACCAGAGAGAGAGAGAGAGAGACCTTTGACTAACTTCAGCTTACCTGCCGCTCTGCCACAGGGTTTCCCGTTCGACGACGACGACAGCGACAACAGCTTCGGCCGTCGCAGCGACGGCATCCGCGCCCACCTCGACGATCTCGCGTCACGCCACCCCGAGCTCGCCGAGCACCTGCTCGGTCCGCCTTGGGGCGACGCGCCCCTTCACGGCTCCCTGTTACGCGGCCGCCGCCGGCGCCGCGGTTCCGGTAGCAGCGGCGGCCAGGGTTACCAAGGTCACCAGGTGGACGAGGACGCGCGTAGCCAAGCGAGCGGTAGCAGTGCCGCGAGTGGCGCAAGCGCCGTCAGCTCGCACAGTGGTGAGCCGGACTCTTCGGTGCCGACGTCGATACCGCATTACGGTCTCCGGAACACGGTGGATATAGGTCAGCAGCAACGACGCGACATGGAGAACCCGGAGAAGGGCGAGCGCGGCCAGCGCTCGATGTCGGCGCCGCCGGAGAATCGGCAGCAGCAGCAACCTGATCAGTCGCGACAGCAGCAACAACCTCAAGGTCAAAGATTCGTCTCCCGGGTGGACATCACGCCGCAGCACAATCAGCAACGCGCCCAGTCGCCTAAGCAGCAGCCGCCTTCGGCGTCCAGCAACGTCAGGCACATCCCCATCTTCGTTGAGGGTCGTGACGAGCCGGTGATGCCGAAGGTCGCGGAGGATGCATCACCTCCGTCGTCCTACCAACGGCAACCGTCACCGCCGCAATTCCACAGACCGTCGCACTTCAACGAACACTTCGCGCGGCAGCAGTGGCCGCCGCCGCACTTCCAGAACGCCTTCTACGACCAAGGCTTCGAGCAGCCCATGCGCCGTCACCAGCAATATCCGCCGCCGCCACAGCAGCACAATCAACAGTACTATCAGCAGCCCCAGCAGCAGCCCCAGTACTATAACCAGCAGTCTCAGCAGCCGCAATACTTCAATAAGCAACCTCAACAATCTCAATACTACAACCAGCAGTATCAACAGCCACCGCAGCAGCAACAGCAGCCTCAACAACCACACAATCAGCAGCAGCCGGCCCAACAGCAGCAGCAGGAAGCGGCCAAACCAAAACCCCCGGTGCCGAAGGATCCTCTCGAGAAAGTCGCTCAGGTGCAGAAAGAGGTGGACAACTTGGCCGAGCAAGTGCAACGTTACGTTGGCGGCTCCCGGCAGGACAAGGAGTACGTTTACCTGGACGAGATGTTGACGCGCGAGCTGATCAAGCTGGACGACATCGAGACGGAGGGTAGAGAGAACGTACGGCAGGCGCGCAAGAACGCTATCAAGAGCATACAGGACACGATCAGCCTCTTGGAGACGAAGGCGCCTCTCGCCGGCCAGCAGGAACAGCCGCGCGGAGAGGAGGAATGCGCGGAGAAGAATCAGCGAGAAGAAGCTCCACAAACGGAAGCTATGGAGGTAGATACGAAGCAGGAGAAACCGATGAACGAGCCGATTCCGCTTCCGCCGGCGCCATCGTCGCCCACAGAGGTGAGGAGGATGATGAAACGAACAGCGCGTTGTTGCACAGCACTGTCACAACGTTGCTCTGACTGCCTTATATGATTACAATGGGCAATTAAGTATCTGTGACGTCACGCAACTATATGTTCTAATTCTAATGTACAGAGTGTTTCAGACCAACAAAGACTTCGTGAAGACGTAGAACGGATTGAGAACGTGAACGTAAAGTACCATTTTGCAAACAATACGCGAATTTTTGAGTTATCAATTATATTCTATTAATTATACCCTCACTAAGTTTGCCCATATTGATCTGCGACACCCTGTATACTTTATTTTCTGTTACAATTATGCGGACAAATTTTATACCATTTATTTCTTAATTTTATCAATTGTGACACATCTTTTGTCATTATATATATATGTTATAATTCTCTGCAAAAGAATTTCACATTGATTTCTTAATTCTACTAATTTGAAGTTTATTTTCTCCTTCTCGTCGTTGATACCGTTCTTCTCGTGTCGCAGACGAAAGCAGAATCTTCGGATAAAGAAAGTGGCGCGACAGCCGTCCCGGAGGCCGCGAATCAGAGTGTCACAGCCGCTAAGGAAGACACGGAACGGACCGAAGTGACCGCCGGGCGGAAAACCGAGGAGAGTCGCGCGACGGAAACCGCAGAGGCCGTCGTCGCTCCGACGGCGACGGACGAGTCAGTGCGCGAAACGAGTGAGAACCCGTCGAAGACGGGGAGCGACGACGGCAAGAACGCGGAACGAAAGAACGGCGATGTGATGACGCAAACGGAAAAGGGTGACTCGATGGCGGTTGCGACGCTGGAGCTGGTCGAGAAGGAGGCGAAAGAAGGGGGAAAGACGGAGGACGGACAAAAGCCGAGGCTGCTGAAGAAGGCGAAGAAGACGAAGAAGCAGCCGCAGCAGCCGGTGTCCGAGCAGGCGATTCCGTTGCCGCCGCCGCCGCCGACGGAGAGTGCAAAGTAGACGAACACCGGACGTTGAAGTGTCATAATCGAATGTCTGAGAGAGAGGAAAAAAAGGAGCGAGAAGAGAACAATTCGAGAGTGTCAGCATACGAGAAATGGAGAGGGGAAGAGAGAGGGAGAGAAAGAAAGAAAGGAAGAGAGGGAGATTTCGTGGACGAAATTTTATGTGGGTAAGGGAAAGAACGAGGGTGAATTTCGTTAGATGGCGAAAGAAACGCACGACGATGCGGACGATGCGGACGATGCTCGTCGAAGGACATCGATTAACCGAATTGCGCGCGCGCGTAAGATGGCTAGGCGAGTGTGTGTGTGTGTGTGTGTGTGTGTCAGTCTGTTTGTCTGTCTGTAAGACGCTGACAGCTACTTTCTTGATTTTTTTTTTACTTTTCCCGAGACCAAGCTGAAGGAGTTCTCCCGGCTGCGGAGGCGCGCGCGCGTGTCGTCACAGTCGGGAGCGACCCGTAGAGTAGCGAGCCGAGCAACGGGCGACTCTGCCGAGTCGCTCGAACGGTTGCCTTAGGACCGAAGCCTTCTTCGCAGCTCTCGATTTATGAAAGGTACGAAGCGCGCAAGAGCGGACTACTGTGTGAAGTGAACGCGCGACGGTAGTACCGCCTATAGGCTCGTAAATAACCGGCTTTCCTCCCGAGGGATAGAATGAGACGGCATCTACGATTTGAAGAATTTGAAGGAGAGGCGCGTGTTCCGCTATTGTATTTTCTCCTTCCTCCATCACGAGGTGAAGGAAATTTACGTTAAGAACGCGCGGTGAGATCGACTTTTTCTCCTTCTTCCACTCCGCCGATAATCTCTCTCGCCGTTCTTCTAATTTATTGATGTTTTTTCGCGTCCGATTCGCGTCCAATACGCCGTATGTCGTCGAAGTCGCGCGATCATTCTCAGCGAGTTTTGAGCGTGCTGAGAGGAAAAAATTCTCTTCCGACCAGCGACATTTTAGCAGTCCGGCGCGACTCCGGCGGCGCCGTGTTGAAAAAGGCGACGTTTATCAAAGGTTTCGCGTCGCAGTGTAGCGTTTTTATATACTTACCTTAATCAAGCAGACCAAACCGTCACGTTGTGCCGCATTATCGACAGCATTTAATCGAAGTTAATCATAGGAAAAATATCCGTTACTTTGTAATCGCTCGAAAAAAATTCATTTCGTTCTATGTGAACACAATAGACGTGGTCTCCGCGAAGATGGATTCGGAACGAGAGAGAGGAAAAAGAATCGTTTTGCTGTATGGTCTTCCGTAAGCGCACGTGCGTAAACGTACGTACGTACGTATATTCAGTCGAATGACAACGGAACGTGACGCAACAGCGGATTACGCACGGTCTGCCTGGTGAGTATACGATCGCCGTATTCGGTGTAGTATACACGCGGAGTGCATCACGTAACGCGTCACGATAACACGACGGCGATCGACGGCGACGACGACGACGATGATGATGATAAGTTAATGTTAATTTCTAATTTATTGTGTGCCTGCCTATGGAGATAATCGCGCGCGTTCCAGCACCTTTGACGCTAATTCGCTGCATCACACGCATCATGTGTCACTTCCGACGAAGCACGCGTGTGTATGTATGTATGCGTGTGTGTAAGAGTATTGCGATGTGTGTAAATACTATATCAGAGCCGCGAATGTGCGTCGAGAAGACACCACCCGTCCTTCGCGTATCGGCTTATATCGGTGCAGCTCGCCTCGCTATTTCAGCTATCTTAGGAGGCTCGACGCGAGCCGGACACGCGCGAGAGAAAAAGGCAGCTCGCCAGAGGCCGGCCTCGATGTTTCGCGGATCTTATTTAAGAGTTTCGTGAAAAATCTTCATTCGCGGAATCGCGAGGGACGGAGGAGCACGGGATAGATATGTGCGTCATTTCTCGGTTTCTTGTTTTCATTTACGGTAATCGTTGGACCTTCATCTTTTATTCTTTCTCATCTGTACGATGATAATGATTCGTTCGTGCGTAGCGACGTCATTTTTCGGCTGGAAATTTTGTATTTTTCCTGATGTATGCGTGTGTGTGCGTGTACATGTGAAGATATGTGGGGATGTGTGGATATATATTGTGTATGTAAGAGAGAGAAAGAGAGAGAGATGTGGTGTGACGAAGATATATATATATATATATAAGTATACGGCGAAAGTATAAAGTATATATACGAGGGCAGTCCGATAAGTATTTAGCCTACAAAAGAAAAACGAAAATTTTGGAAAAGTGGCGATTTATTTCTCAACATAGTCTCCTTTTAGCTCGATACACTTGACCCAGCGATGCTCCAACTTCTTTAACCCATCTGAAAAATACGTTTTCTCGAAGTCTGCAAAGTAGGCCTCCGTGGCGGCGATGACCTCCTCATTCGGCCAAATTGGTCGAATTGGACTACGAACTGCTGCTCCATCCACCGTATTCTCCAGATTTGGCCCCGTGCGACTTTTTTTTGTTTCCAAACTTGAAAAAGTCACTCGCCGGGCAGAAATTTGAGTCGAATGAGGAGGTCATCGCCGCCACGGAGGCCTTTGCAGACTTCGAGAAAACGTATTTTTCAGATGGGTTAAAGAAGTTGGAGCATCGCTGGGTCAAGTGTATCGAGCTAAAAGGAGACTATGTTGAGAAATAAATCGCCACTTTTCCAAAATTTTCGTTTTTCTTTTGTAGGCTAAGTACTTATCGGATCGCCCTCGTATATATACATAAGTATACGGCGAAAGTGTGACTATTTTATGAGATTAATCAGTGAAAATACAAAGTCTGCTCTATCAGTCGTTCGTTTGTTGCCTTTGCAGTTGGCCGGGCGAAAATGGCGGACGAAGATTCGGCTTAATTTACGTAACGCGCCCTCCCGAGGCACTTTTTGCTCGTTCGCGCAAATGGGAAATTCGCGCGGGTACCAATGACCTGCTAATAACAACATCCGTTAAACGCAGCTGTCTCGTGCATTGCCAAATTCCTGGGAATTGTTTGCACTTGACGCGCGCTCGATTCTTGTCATCCGGGAATACCCGCGGGGCGGTCATGTGGAGGGGAGGGAAACAAATTCGACGTTAGTCAGCCGCTCCCTCGTGGCTCAGGAACGGCTATTATTTATACATCTCACGTGTCAATATATTATGTCTCGTTGCGCTCGCGCAAAGCTTGTCGGCTGTGCGGATTGGCAGGCGAATTTTCGCGGACGATAGAGGGTGAGAACGACGATTTGCTGCACCGGCTTCGTTCGTTGAGCGAGAGAGAAACGTGAAGATATAATCGCGTGGGAAAGAATCTCTCGTGTGTTCGCGCATCTCGATTTGCCAAAAACGAGCTCTCCGGCGCTACCCAGTGAGCGGGAAACGTTAAATCGATCTCTCGAAACATTGGTTTTACACGGATTTTGTATTAAACATTTTGGTGTAATATTTGATAAATGTTTACAAACATCGTTATTTGATACTCCTGAATGTTAAATCTTAGTGTAGAAATATTTTTAATGTTGGGTCACATAAATATCGCTAACAACGACGTTGCACGCAACATGAAGAACCATACAGAGAACGTTGAGAACGTTACATGTTATAAAAAATATAAAACGTCATCGCGTGGTAACGCGTTGTGTTCGTGATTTCTCGCTTACTCGATCGTTCTCGCAATCAAGGCATTATGTGCCTTTTGTTCCATCACCCGAAATGTTTCGAGAGCGTCCCTTGGAAAACGTAGATCTACAATATATATATATGCACATTACAAATCGACAGCGCGAATGCCTTTCCTCTGCGCGACTTTTGACTCTCTCGTAAAGATGTAATTTTGCCGCGAAGCGTGCGAGAAGAGGATACGTCTCGGCCGGTGGTACTTTCGGGAGCCCCGAGGACTGGCCAGGTTTTATTGTGATTATTTATCGTCGAAGCGCCTTTTACACATATACGTATGCATTCGGCCCGATTATTTGTTTCCAGCTGCCGCGCGGCCGAGACGCGAGCGGAACGCCCGTTTCGCGCGAACTTGGCACACGGCGGGGAGAGCGCACGTATATAGTGCCAAAAATAGCGCCGGCGTGGCGCGGTTAAGCCGTTAGAGGAGCGAACTGTTTTTGCGTCGCGACGTGGTCGCGTTCTCCGGGGAAACCCCGGTCGAGGACGCGGCGTTGACGATGCACTGGCGCGCGCTGTGTCGCCGGATGCCAGAATGGAAAGTTGAATGTTTACTATTCTCGGCTGGCCGGAAAATGAAAAAAAAATCGGCGGAATTTTCAACAGGCTGGTAACTTCCGCGAGAACTAACGGGACTAACGGGACGGTTTGGGAGGATGACTCGTTTCGCGGATTCTGAAGTCTGAAATCATCACAGTTTGTGGATATATATATTTGCGGAAAAGAAAATTTATTTTCCAGAATGATGCGCAAATATGTATAAACGGAGCTGCGCCGAGTGCCAACATTTTCTGACAAGTCATAGATATTGTTCTCTCGCGACGCACCTTGCGCGTATGGCGTATGTATCGTTGGAAAATGAGGACTTTTCCCATTGATTCGCGTGCAAAAATGATGGTGTTGTGTGTTTTCTTCACTGAATTATTCTACGTGGAAAATGAAATACACGGCCAATTTATTTATTTAGTCGCGCTACGACTTCGACTTTTCGTCGAGGAAAGCAGAGGCCCGTAACGAAGAGACTTTGGAAATACTCGGAAGAAGAGCAATGTCGCAATTTTCAGCCCAAAATCGGAGCAAATTTATTCACTTTAAAACAATCTCAATTAGTAATACAATACCGTAGCTTTTTATATCTTTCGGCCGTTGATTTTGCTATCTTTCGGATAACTGCACAATTTCCAACGCGAAGAAGTCGGGCCTTCTCTCAGCACAGAACATGTGGAAAATCTTTTTATGATCGGTATTCACGGTTGGATCTTATATTTAAGATCGTCTTAAGTTCATCTTCAGATGCTTCGTAGCCAATGAAATGAGCCATACAGCATCTGAAGATATACTTAAGAGAATCATATGTATAAGATCCGACTATAAATACCGATCATACTTGTTTTACGCTAACTATAAACAGTGCATCTTAGTTTAGGAACATAAAGCAGATCTAACGTTGAAGTTTCTTTCTAATAAAACACACTAAAGCCATCTATTGAGTAAATACGACACTACATTCTTCTTAACCCAATATTTTTTGGTTTAGACTTGAACCATTTTAGCCGGGACTCGAACCCTTTTTGGCAACGAGCTTCGCCAACGCAGCTAGATGACGCTAGACGGATCTATTAGCGCTATGGATGTAGGAATATATGAATGGAACGTAAGCTGAGTTTACGGGTAAGAGAGGCGGAGCCGATTTGAGGGACAAGATATTGTGGAGATTAAAAGGGATAGCCCGGGAAGAATCAAGGCATGTGCCCACTGAGTACTCGGCACAAAGAATAAGAAAGGCTCTTTTATTGCGTAGAGAAACACTATAACGATGCAGCTCTAACAGCGGGCTAGTCTCCACTGTTTTACTGCCGTACAGCGACAAATGGCTAGCTCACCGGCGGAGTGGTGGGGGGCGAGCTCGCATACAAGCGAGACAGAGTATAGCCGCCACAATATCTCTAAAACTGTGCCTAGGTTTGATTGGTTGAGTTGTATTCATGTGTGTTACCGCTAACTATAAACGAAATAATA